AATTCAAATAAGTGAAATAAATATTTTGGAAAAATGGGGTTAACGAAACAATTTTTTTTCAAAAAAAAAAAAAAAAAACTGGGATACGAAGAAAAAGGAAAATCTGGTCGAAAATAAAGATGACATAAAATTCCGTTGTTGTCGGAAAAATGATGTAAATAATTTCAAAAATAATAAATAAATATAAAATATTATAACGTTATAATCTCTACCATATCTACGACAGCATGCAATAATAATAAATTGTAAATTATGGCTCATTGTCAGTGAATATAGGCCAATAAGGAGTTCAATTTCAAAAATTACATGTCACACATGTACTTGTGTGGATGTGCGAATTTCCCCCGGTTGATGGCACTTCAATACCAAAACAAAACAAAAAAAAAAAAAAATGGACATCTGTTATATAGTATTAACATATGTTCCTGTCTATAACAGCTAGTGTTCAAGACAATTAATTCAATAATAGAGCTTTTTGACAATAAACATAAACAAAGATAATGTAAATATTTACATTATTTGCAAAATTAAACGCCAAAATATTAAAATGTTAAAAAAAGATTTAATTTAGAAGAGGCCGAAAAATACATACTCTAAAAAAATCAAGGATTTTTAGATTTTTTTTTCGATATTGAAAAATTATGTTTAAAAACTGCCTTTAAACAGATTCGTAGCAGATTACAATATTAAACACGTTGAAAATCAGTAAGCTCGGCCGGGCCGAACTTTGAATATCCTCCATCATTTGGAACGAATTTGGAAATTTTCCAAAAATAAAATCCTTAAAAAATTTTGTTAAAATTTTAAAAATACCGAATATAGCCGTTATATTGGGGTCTATACGACGTGGACCTACATAGACATGAAATAAACGGTGAATAATGTAGCTAAAATCATCAAAATATCGTATATATAGGGAGGTACCGTTATATCGGAGCTGTACGTAGACCTGGATCAGCACAGACAATTTTCTGTCACAGGCTGTAGCATTCATTACGAACTTCAAATACGACATCTCAAACAATTTCGGTGGGTATTGCACCTAAACTCGTCAAAATACAGAATATATGGGGCCTATACGAAGACCTGGACCTGCATAGACAATTTTCTGTCACAGACCGTAGTTCCCATTACGAACTCTAAATACGTAATTTGAAACAATTCCGGTGAATAATGTCGCTAAATATTGGGAGGTACCGTTATATGGGGCTAACGAAGACATGGACCTGCACAGACAATTTTCTGTCTTAGGTTGTAGTATCCATTTCGAACTTCAAATACCAAATTTGAAACAATTCCGGTGAAAAATGTCGCTAAAATCATCAAAATACCGAATATCGGGAGGTACCGTTATATCGGAGCTGTGCGTAGACCTGGATCAGCATAGACAATTTTCTGTCACAGGCTGTAGCATCCATTACGAACGTCAAATACCAAGTTTGAAACAATTCCGGTGAATAAGGACGCTAAAATCATCAAAATACCGAATATTGGGAGGTACCGTTATATGGGGGCTATATGAAAACGTCGACCTACATGGCCCATTTACGAACTTAACCTGCCTACTGAAAAAATAAACAGGTGTGCAAAATTTTAGCCTTCTATATCAATCAAGATAGCGTGATTACAACAGACAAGAGGACAGACAGACAGACATCTCTAAATCGACTTAGAATTTTACGCTGATCAAGAGTATATACACTTTGTTGGGCCTGACATGAGTATTTCGAGGAGTTACAAACGGAATGACAAAGTTAATATACCCTCCATAGTATGGTGGGAGGGGAAAAAAAATGTTTTCCTAAAATTCTACAATAGGTCCTGAAAGACGTCTAAATCTTATCCAAACGCTAGGAACTCTTATATATTTTGGGGAGACATATTAGGGTTACTGTCGTACTTTGCGTAACTCTATGCAAAGTTTACATGGCAAAGTAGTCTACATTTTGGGGGGTGGCAAATTCCCGCCTCTCTTCCACGCTTTTGGATATTTTCCGATTAAGATTCCATTGAATTCGTTCACTTTAGGTATAAAGTGTCTTTAGCAATATTACAGATAACAATACGAAGATTATTTGGAAGGAAATTTTAATCCTCAAGCGAGTCAATAAAGGGGTATTTTTGGTACTTTTTTCAAAATATTGTTAAAAACTCCCCTTAAAGTCAAAATATTCCACAAAATTGTTTGTCATGAAATTCTACTATGGGGTCTAGAAGACGTCAAATGTATAAGTCTTATCTAAAAGCAAGAAATTCATATAAATTAAACACACATTTTAGGGTTAAAGCCATACTTTATGTGAGTTTATGCAAAAATCTCCAACAAAACATGATTTTAGAAGGATGATGTCAAAGAAAAAAATATTCCTCATTAAATTTCACTATAAGTCACCAAAGAAAAGAATTTTAAATTTTTATTATATATCAAAAAAATATTTGCATCAAAGTTCAAAAAAACAAAAATAAATTTTCTGATTTTTTTTTTTTAATTAATTTTTCCTAGGACTTTTTTCGATTTGACGCCGGAAAGTCGCATAAAATTTCGTTATAGACAAAAAATGTCAAAAGATAAAATATTCTACACAACATTTCACTATAAATCACAGAATAAATCATAATTCTAGGTGTAATAGTTTTTATAAAAAATTACATTGAAAATGTATGTATCAAAAATGACAATCACAGGATAAGATGAAAAAACTTCAGACTGCTGTCATTTCTAAGCCACTCGTCCGACAGCTGTTAAAATTATTCCAGTCACAGCTCATTCTATTGTTTACAAGCGTTCAAATGCATTTTGGTGAGAATTTTCCAGAAAAAAAGTAATTCGTGATGGAATTCAAGCGTGATAGTGTGATTTCTTTATATTTGGCTGGAAAACCACAAGTGGCTATCGTTAGAGCACTCCATCATTTAAATGTGAAATAAATCTTTTGTGTTTCGTATCATTGAAAGAAGCACTAAAAAATACCAAAGTGTCGATCGCCTCAAGCAAGATCTTCGCCGGGAATGGGCCAAAATACCGCAGAACAACATTCGGGCAGCATGTGACGGTTTCATTGGCCGTTTAAAGGCCATAATTCGTGCCCAAGGTGACCAATTCGAACAAATCTAAACTTATTCTAAAATTTTTACGCTATACAATTTTTCTGCTTTGGTTCAATAAAATTAAAAAAAAAAAAAAACAAGTAAAAAGCTGTAAGTTTGGGCTGGCCGAACTTTGAAAAAAATCCGAAAATAAAATCCGTTACAAAATTCTGTTAAAATCTTAAAAATGCCGAACGTAGCCGTATATTAGGGTCTATACGACGACGTGGACCTGCATAGGCAACTTTTGTCACAAGCTATTACAATATTCAAATTCGAAACTTGAAAAAAATCTGCATATAATGTCGCTAAAATCATCAAAATACCGAATATCGGGGGGTACCGTTATATGGGGGCTATACGAAGACGTGGACCTGCACAGACAATTTTCTGTCACAGGCTATAGTATCCATTACGAGCTTCAAATGGGAAATTTGAAACAATTCCGGTAAATAATGTCGCAAAAATCATTAAAATACCGAATATCGGGAGGTACCGTTATATGGGGGCTATACGAAGACGTGGACCTGCACAGACAATTTTCTGTCATAGGCTATAGTATTCATTACGAAATTCAAATGCCAAATTTGAAATAGTTCTGGTAAATATGTAATGTCGCTAAAATCAGGAAAATACCCAGGAGGTACCGTTATATGGGGGCTATACGAAGACGTGGACCTACATGCCTCATTTTCTGTTTTAGGATGTAGTATCCATTACGAATTTCAACTACCAAATTTGAAACAATTCCAGTAAATAATGTCGCTAAAATTATCAAAATACCGAATATCGGGAGGTACCGTTATATGGCGGCTATACGAAAATTTGGACCTACATGACACATTTTTAATACCAAAAGTCCTGCAGATATAATACACATTTGAGTAAAATTTTATCAACCTACTTAATTTCGTTCGGAAGCTAGAGTGGTTTCCACAGACGGACGGATGGACGGATATCGCTAAATCGAGAGAGAGAGAGAGAGAGAGAGCTCGGAAAAACTCTTGCCAAATTTTATCAAGATCGGTTCAGATTTGGATATAGCTCCCATATATATCTTCAAACGATTTTGGATTAATTGTGCATCAAATGGCCAATATCAGTCCAAAAGTATTGAATTTTGGTACATCCGACCGAATTTAGTCTACAAGCAAGTACATCGAATTTGGTGAAAATCGGTTCAGATATAGCTATAGCTCTCATATATTGGTTTCAACCGATTTGGGGTCTTAAAGTCCCTTACATTCGTAATATGCATTTGACAACAATGATATTTGGTACCAGATATCTTATAGAGCTCGGAAATACCTTTGCCAAATTTTATCGAGATCCGCTACGATTTGGATATAGCTCCCATTTCAGGTTTACTGTGCAAAAAATGGCTAATATCAGCTCAAATGGAGTGAATTTCGTGACGTCCATTTGGCGGAACTCAGCTCCGATATATATATTTTTTAAATAAAATCCTTCTCGAAGTGATATCATGCATTCTATAGCAATGTTATTTGGTATAAAAGATTAAAATGTCTCTGTCAAATTTTGTGAAAATCGATTCAGAATCGGATATGCCTCCCAAGTATTAGTTCCCTCTGAAATCAAATTATAGCTGCTCTAAAGCCAAATGTTGAAAGGTGTTATGATCTACTTCAAATAAATTTCGATTGTTACGGGAGCTCTACTAAATATGCATAGTGGTGTAGGGTATCATATAGTCGGACCCGCCCGACTTTTGACTTTTCCTTACTGGTTTTATTTAATCTCATTGCCTTGGGTGCTTCAAGGCCTGTCCGGTCTTTTTTATTTTTTTTAACGAATTATTTAAATGCATTATTTTTATAGTTTATTATTTCGAATTTCGAAAATTTCCGAATTTCCTTTCCGAATTATTTATGATATTTTTGCGTTGAGAATTCAATAAATTTTCCCCAAAATTTTGCAATTTTAGCCGCCAACTGCAACACATCTACCTACCATCACCCGCCACAAATAGAACACATCCGACGGATTTAGAAACACAACAACAAAATGTCCGATACAAACAGTGAAACATCGCCGGTGACGCAAACCCAGCCCCCACAGAATGGCAAAGAACGTTCAAAATCAACAGAGGAAAAGGAAATTCCTCGGGAGCCCGCCCTAACCTGCAAAGACATTAATGTGAGTGGAAAATGGATTTCCATGGGAAATCAAGAGAATTGTCACTCTCTCTCTCTTTACCCCTTTTAGATTAAGACTGAATTGGAATGCCTGGTCAAACTGCTGGATGGCAAAATCAACAAAGACGAAGAGGTGGCGATCGAAGAATTACATCAGTATTTGATTGAGGATGAGGGTTCCTGGGCATTGGGTGATAATTTTCTGGTTTTTGTACAGCGTGTGCTGCGCGAACAGACCTTCTCGCCCGATACCCGGATACACATGATTCGCACCTTGGCCTATGCAGCACTGAAGGATGATGTCATCATTATTTTGCATCAGGATCGTCGTGATCATACCTTGATGAATTTCGGCTATGACATTGAGAAGCACACACCCGAAGAGCAACAGGCCTGGGCTATGTTTGTAAGTGTCACCTGAATTCTTGTATGAATTATTCTTCTTAAATTCCGATTTGTGTTTTTTTTTAAAGATGTGCAATCTTTTCGAACACGTCAGTCCCTCAGAATGGTTGCTGTACATTTCCGAATGGGAGTACATGGGTCAGACAATTTCAAATATACGCGTCACCACCAAAGTAGCTGTCCACTGTATACTTTCGAATTGTCCGGCGTTGAAAAATACCGGTACCATGATGCTGTACAATATTGCCATCAAGGAGGTCAAGACTGTGGTAGGTGGAAATGGTTGGATGAAAGGGGGTTCAAAATTGGTTAACATTTTTTTTTTTAAATAATTGTTTTAAAGGTATTTGACGATGTTGCCATCGAATTGGCCATGGCCATTTTACAGTTCTTCCAAAGCAGCCCCAATGAGGATCAAATTTTCCGTGCCTGCAAGGCTTTGGTTAGATTTTTGGAGGTAAGTTGAGTTTCAAGCTTTAGATCGTAAGATATGTAAAAGACTAATTATATAATAAGAAAACAGTGAAGAACACATATAAATCGGGCGGGACCGACTATATACAGGGTGAGGTTAAAAAACTGCAACAAAGTCAAACGCCATAATTTTAACATTTTTTTTTTGAATTTGATTAAATGAAAGGAAAAAATATCGGAAATAGCATCAAATTTTAGAATTAGTTTAGATTTGTTCGAATTGGTCAGCTTTGGCACGAATTATGGTCTTCAAACGGCAAATAAAACCAGTCACACGCTGCCCGGATGTTGCCATGTGGCATTTTGGCCAATTCCCGCCGAAGCACTTGCTTGAGGCGATCGACACTTTGGTATTTTTTAGTGCCAACCTTCCCTTCCAAAATACTCCAGACACAATAGTCCAACGGATTGGTATCCGGAGATTTTGGTGGTCATTGGGCGTTGGAAATGAAGCGAGGAACCTCAGTTTGTAACCATTCTTGGGTGGCGCGTGCTGGGTGCGATGGTGCTGAGTCCTGTTGAAATATCCATGGTCAGCGTAAAACATGTTTGCGTGCCCAAGGCTTTAGTATCTCCTCCAGAATATTTTCGCGATAATATTTGGCATTTATTCTGACGGACGATTAATACGAGCGGAGAGCGACCATCTGCTCTTATGGCGGCTCACACCATCATCGGCCCACATGGCCGGCGCTTGAGTTCTGGTGGCCAACCGAAGGTGCACATTTTCAACTGACCTCTTTGGCAAGCAAACACGATCATTTTGTTTGTTTACAAAACTGCTGGACAACGAATATTTTCTCAGCGGAGAAAACTAAATTCAGCAGTTCACCACTTTCCAAGCCAAGCGAAGCAACTCTTTAGCTCTTTTGAGTCTATTTTCTTTCTGTTGCGGTGTAAGTTCTTGCACTTTTTGGAATTTCAATGGCTTTACTCCGAGCTCATTTTTTAATACTTTTGTCCAATGGAATATTGCGATATATTTAGCTCATGAGTCATTTTTCGGCCACTGCGACGCGGGTTTCGATCAAGTCGCTCCTTTACTTTTCGAACCATTTCTGCTGATGTCGCGGTTTTCTTCCGTCCACTTCCTTGACGTCGGGCTACGCTACCAGTATCAGGGTAACGAGCGATGGTACGAGACACAAAAGATGTATTCACATTTAAATGCTGAAGTGCTCTAACGATAGGCACTTGTGGTTTTCCAGCCAAATATAAAGAAATCACACTATCTTGAATTCCGCTTGAATTCCATCACGAATAACTTTATTTCTGGAAAATTCTCACCCAAATGCTTTTGTATGCTTGTAAACAATATAATGAGATGTCACTGGAATAATTTTAACAGCTGTCGGACGAGTGGCTTAGAAATTACAGCCGTCAGAAGTTGGTTGCAGTTTTATTCATTTCACAATGTATATGTATGTTTTGAGCTAGTAATTTAACACGTTCCCATTCTGAGTCAAAATCACCCATAATATTTTAGTTTTTGGCAATGCTGTCAAAGGAAGAAATATTCTAGATTAAATTTCATTACGAGCCTCCAACGGAAATAAATCTCTATTTCTATTATATACCAAGTAAATATTTGCTCAATGTTGCCAAAAAATGGAAAAATTTCCTGATTTTTTGTTTACAATTTTTTCTACCTTTTTTGATTTAATGTCTGAAAGTAACATGAAACTTCATTTTAGGCGGGAACTATTAAAGGAGGAAATATTCTATTCTAAATTTCACTATAAGTCTCGAAATAAATCATGTACCCAGCTATAATAGTTTTAAGACAATTACATTACAAAATTTATATATTAATGGGGGAAATTATATGTTTATATTTTGAGTTGTTAATTTTATACCTTCCCAATCTGAGTCAAATTCACCCATAATAATTCTGTTTTAGGCGATGGTATCAAAGTAAGAAATATTCTAGATCAAATTTCATTATGAGTCTCCGAAGAAAATAAATCTCTATTTCCATTATATATTAAGAAAATATTTGCAACAAAATTGCCAAAAAACGGAAAAATGTCCAATTTTTTTGTGTACTATTTTCCTATGACCCTTTTTTGATCTTATGCCTAAAAGTAACATGAAACTTCATTGTAGAAAGTAAGTGTCAAAGGAGGAGATTTTCTACACCAAATTTTACTAGAAGTCTTGGAGGAAATTATATATCTAGCTATAATAGTTTTTAAGAAATTTACATTACAAAATGTATATATTAATGTGGGAAATTCTATGTTTGTTTTGAGCTCTTAATTTAACACGCTTCTAATGCGAGTCAAAATCTCGTATAATAATTCAGTTTTTAGCGATGCTGTCAAAGAAAGAAATATTTTAGAGCAAATTTCATTATGAGCCTCTGAAGAAAATAAATCTCTATTTCCATTATATATTAAGAAAATATTTGCATCAATGTTGCCAAAAAAAAAAAAAAAAACTCGAAAATATTCCATCATTTTTGATCATTTTTCCTCGACCTTTTCTAATTAAATGTCTGAAAGTAATATGAAACTTCATTTTAGACAGAAAGTGTCAAGGGAGGAGATATTCTACACAAAATTTCACTATTAGTCTCGGAAGAAATCATATATCTAGCTATGATAGTTTTTACGAAAATTACATTACAAAATTTATATATTAATGGGGAAAATTATATGTTTATGTTTTGAGTGGTTAATTTTATACCTTCCCATTCTGAGTCAAATTCACTCATAATATTTCAGTTGTAGGCGATAGTGTCAAAGGAAGAAATATTCTAGACTAAATTTCATTATGAGTCTTCAACGAAAATAAATCTGTATTTCTATTATATAGCGAGTTTAATTTGCATCAATGTTGCTAAAAACGGAGAAAATTTCCTATTTTTTATATACAATTTTTTCTACCTTTTTTGATTTAATGCCTGAAAGTAACATGAAACTTCATTTTAGGCGGAAACTATTAAAGGAGGAAATATTCTACACCAAATTTCACTATGAGTTTCGGAAGAAATCACATATCTAGCTATAACAGTTTTTAAGAAAATTACATTACAAAATGTATATATTAATGGGGGAAATTATACGTTTATGTTTTGAGCTCTTAATTCAACATATATCTAATCTGAGTCAAATTCACCCATAATATTTCAGTTTTTGGCGATGCTGTTAAAGGAAGAAATATTCTAGATCAAATTTTATTATGAGTTCCCGAAGAAAATAAATCGCTATTTCTATTATATATCAAAAAATATTTGCATCAAAATTGCCAAAAAAAAACGAAAAAATGCCCAATTTTTTGTTTACAATATTTATTTGACCTTTTTTGAGTTGATGCCTGAAAGTAACATGAAACTTCATTTTAGACAGAAAGTGTCAAGGGAGGAGATATTATACACCAAATTTCACTATTAGTCTAGAAAGAAATCATATATCTAGCAATAATAGTTTTTAAAAAAATTACAGTACCAAAACTTATATTAAGGTGGGAAATTCTATATTTATGTTTTGAATGGTTAATTTTATACCTTCCCAATCTGAGTCAAATTCCCCCATAATGCTTCATTTTTTGGGGGAAGTGTCAAGAGAAGAAATATTCTAGATCAAATTTGATTATGAGTTCCCGAAGAAAATAAATCTCTACTTCCATTATATATTAAGAAAATATTGCATCAATATTGCCAAAAAACAGAAAAATGTCCAGTTTTTTGTTTACAGTTTTCCTTTGGCCATTTTTTGATTTTATACCTAAAAGTAACATGAAACTTCATTTTAAGCGGGAACTATTAAAGGAGGAGATATTCTACACAAAATTTCACTATTAGTCTCGGAAGAAATCATATATCTAGCTATAATAGTTTTTTAAGAAAATTACATTACAATATTTATATTAATGTGGCAAATTCTATGTTAATATTTTGAGACCTTCATTTAACACGTTTCAAATGCGAGTCAAAATCTCGTATAATATTTCATTTTTTAGCGATGGTGTCAAAGAAAGAAATATTCTAGACCAAATGTCATTATGAGTCTCTGAAGAAAATAAATCTCTATTTCCATTATATATTAAGAAAATATTTGCATCAATGTTGCCAAAAAAAAAACTCGAAAATATTCCATCTTTTTAGATCATTTTCCTCGACTTTTTCTAATTAAATGTCTGAAAGTAACATGAAACTTCATTTTAGACAGAAAATGTCAAAGGAGGAGATATTCTAGACCAACATTCACTATTAATCTCGGAAGAAATCACATTACATTACATTACAAAATGTATATATTAATGAGGGAAATTATATGTTTATATTTTGAGCTATTAATTTTATACGTTCCCATTCTGAGTCAAAATCTCCCGTAGTTCTTCATTTTTTTGGAAAGTGTCAAGAGAAGAAATATTCTAGATCAAATTTCATTATGAGTCTCCAACGAAAACAAATCCCTATTTCCATTATATATCAAAAAATATTTGCATCAATATTGTCTAAAAATGGAAAAAATTTCCTGTTTTTTTTTGTTTACAATTTTTTTTTACCTTTTTTGGTTGGATGCCTAAAAGTAACATGAAACTTCATTTTAGACAGAAAGTGTCAAGGGAGGAGATATTATACACCAAATTTCACTATTAGTCTAGGAAGAAATCATATATCTAGCTATAATAGTTTTGAAGAGAATTACATTACAAAATGTATATTTTAATGGGGGATATTGTATGCGAGTAAATTGAGTTGTTTATTTTATACGTTCCCAATCTGAGTCAAAATCTCCCGTAGTTCTTAATTTTTTGGCAAAAGTGTTAAAGAATGAAATATTCTAGATTAAATTTCATTATGAGTCTCCGTGGAAAAGAAGTGTGTAAACTTAGTATTTGCCATTTAAAAAATCGCATCTGTTTGGATTAAATTTTTTTATTATCGTCCAAATGGCATCATTTCCCATATTTTCTTAAGATTTCACCAGAAATTAAGCTGGAGGTGGAACATCGAGGAGCGAACGAAGAAGGGCTTAATTGCACTTTATTTCTGCAAAAACTCCATAGGAAACCACCTTCAGTAAAAGCATTGATAAAGTCCAAAGAGGTTGCATCGCTACTAATTACAGGCGCGTTTAGACTAGACCTACAATTAGACTAGACCTACTCAATTTAAAACCCCGTTAGGTTTATTTGTAAAGGAACAAGCTGCTAGGTGTCCACTGCGACTCAATGAACAGGGACAATGGCGGAGTCAGCCCTTTGGACACTCAGTCATTCTCAAGTATGTGGAAGCATAGGAAATCAGGCTATAGCTAGCGATTTTATATCACCTAGGCACAGCTTTGAACTACTTGATATCCATATGCCTAACAGAGACATCTCGACCGGCGACACTCCACCTTTTAACTGTATAGCAGTCTGTACTGATGGGTCAAATATGGAAAGTGGTACGGGAGCTGGGGTCTATTGTGAAAGTCTAAATATCCAACGATCCTTCAAACTGGGCGTACCGGTGTGACTATATATGTCGATAGTCAAGCTGCCCTGAAGGCTCTAAATTCATTTACAATCAATTCTATGGTAGTTCTGGAATGCAGGAATGCTCTGGAAAAGGTTAAATCGTTTTGTCAAACTCTGTTGGGTCCCTCCCTGGGCACTGCAACATATCTGGCAATGGATCGACTGATGAATTGGTCAGACGCAGATCTGACTTAGTAGATCTAGAGATTCAGAGCTCAGTGAACATTTCAATAGACCTGGTTAACTGGAAGGGGATTTAATGTCTCCAAAAAGATCTGGCCGGTGAATTGCGAAAGGAGATCAAGGTCACTCATATCCATGACGAAGCTGGACATGAAGCTTGTGGTGGGCCTAGTTACAGGACACTGCAACATAAAGGACATGACACCCAAAAATGGGGGGAATACTGCAGGCTTTGTCAGGACGAGGAAGAAACTGAAACGGTGGAGCACTTACTCTGCCACTGCCCCACTGCCTTATGGGAGTGAAACAGCGGCTACGGGGAAAGCAAATTCTGCCAGACTTGCCCCCTCCTTCTCCGACATCGAGCCGGCAGTCATTCTTTAGTTAGTTAGAAGACTAAGATGACTAAGAACGACGTGCTGATACACCGTGGATGCAAACCTACTAACTTCTAAGTCGATTTAACGATGTCCGTCTGTCTGTCCGTCTGTCCCTCTGTCTGTCTGTTGAAATCACGATACAGCCCACATTATTTGACGTAGACTGCCAAAATTTAGCAGAGCAACTTGTATTGTGTCTAGGATGATATTGAAAATGAGATATATCGGTCCACGTTCTGGTATAGTCCCCATATAACGGTACCTCCCGATATTCGGTATTTTGATGATTTTTGCCACATTTCTTCTAATGTTTCCTTTACCCTAAGGTGGAGGGTATTAAAAGTTTGACCCGGCCGAGCTTAATGTTTTTTTTTTTTAATTGCTTTAAATTAGGATGAACAACACAATGGACCAAAACATCTCCGAGTGGAGTGGTTGTTTATACAAACGCGCATCTTTTAACCTAACCTAACCTCTGGTTCTCAGGCCAAATTTTGTAAAGGAATTTTGAGTTATGTTTCGCTGAATTTAATTTGGACCTAGAATCGTTGTTAAAAAAATATCCTGACTCATGTGTCTTCCATTTTCAGCTGTATTTCCAAAATCTTCTAGCCTTTTTTCTATAAATATGGGAAAAAATTAAATTTTGTCCCTCAGTGTTATTCAATGCATTATCCGGTCAATGTATTTCTTCCTGGGTCTCTTGTACTAAACTCAACACCTGTGGGCGTTATTGCAATTCTTTCGCTGAAAAATGTTTTTTTTTGTCAATTTTTTTAAACATATAATTATAACAATTGCCAACACTCAAAAAAAAAATATTATTTATTTCCTATATGACGGAAATTTGTTTTCCTTATAGAATACTTGCGCCCATTATTTTTTCTTAATTGTATTAAAACAATTAACAATTTTAATTTTTTTTTTTGCTCATTTATTTCAAGGTTTCACCCGATGTTGCTGCTATTATTCAAATGATTGGACCACATCCAAAACAATTTTCTGGTAAAAGTGAACGTGTCGATGACCTCATTAAAATTATCAGCCGTAAAGTGCCTGCCTAAGATGGAGGTGGAGCAGGAGAAGGAAAACAAGGTGGCCACCTGGCAAAGACACCATCGTAACAGCATCACAAAAACACACAAATCCCCACCTACAAAAATCGTATCCAATCAATGGAGAATGCATATCCATATTGAAACATTTAGTAAACACCCCACCACCCATCCACCATGCACAAAGAAGCGAATCAAATCAAATCGTTTATATTATTAATTATTATAAGTTTAATGATGATTTATTAATTATTCAAAATACATTTTTTTATATAGAAAAAAATATATTATTTAGTTTTTATTGATATTTTGTACAGCAGGACCAATTGGTGGACCAATTTTCACCCCTGACTTTGATGTGGCAATTTTGAAATGTTTTGAAATAATTTTGGTAGTTTTCATACCCTACACCACAAGGTGGTCAGGGTATTATGTCTTTGTGCATTTGTTTGTAACAGGCAGAAGGAAACGATATAGACCCATAGTTCCTTTTGATGATCTGCATAGAATCACTTTCTGAGTCGATTTATGCATGTCCGTCCGTCCGTCCGTCTGTCCATTTATTTTTGTGAACAAAGTACCGTTCGCATTTATTACCCGATCCAGATGAAATTTTGCACAAATCATTTGTTTGGCCCAAGGATGAACTCTATTGAAATTGGAGATAATCGGTAAAAATTTGGATATAGCTCCGATATATATTTACGTCCGATTTGCCTTTTATTGTGCACCAAACGTGTAATATCAGCTCGAATAGTAGGGAATTTTGCACACACAACTAAATTAGGCCTGAAAATAAGTATGCCAAATTTCATCGAAATCGGTTCAGATATAGCCATAGCTCCAATATATATTGTTCATCCGATTTGTTATTTTTGTCCTCCGCAGCCGTAATATGCACTCTGTAACAACAATATTTGGGGAAATATATCAAATACAGCTTAGAAATATTTTTGCCAAATTTTATCGAGATCGGTTCAGATTTGGATATAGCTCCCGTATATAACTTCGTCCGATTTACTTTTTATTGTGCACCAAAAGTCTAATATTTGCACAAATTGGATGAAATTTGGCACTTACGACCGAATTGAGTCTAGAAGCTAGTATGTTAAATTTGGTGAAGATCGGTTCAGATATAGCTATAGCTCCCATGTATATATTGTTCATCCGATTTGTTTTATTTGTTACCCACAGCCGTAATATGCACTCCGTAACAACGATATTCAGGGAAATATATGAAATACAGCACAGAAATATCTTTGCCAGATTTTATCAAGATCGGTTCAGATTTGGATATAGCTCCCATATATATATCAAATGGGCAATACAAGTCCGAATTTAAAAGATACAAATACTTCGGCATATTTAGTCTTAAATTCTCCCATAAAAACTTTTAATTGTTATGTGGAGCACTACTTAATTAGCAAAGTAGTGTAGGGTATCATAAAGTCGGCCCGCTCGACTTTAAGACTTTCTTTACTGGTTTTTCATTGGAAAATTTTAAAATTAATTTGGGAGAGAGTGTCAGAAATATTGGTCCCATTTTGGGACTCGATTTATTTCTAAATTTTGTGTGTTGGGTTATATCGAATATTCCCTAGGCAAGTTAATACGCATACCAACCCAACAGAGGTATATATTTACATGTTAACAAATAAAAAAGCTGAATGTTCGGCCGGACCGAACTTTGAATACCCTCCACCATTTGGAACAAGTTTGGCAATTCTCAAAAACAATAAAATCCGTTAAAAAATCTGTTAAAATCTTAAAAATACCGAATCTAGCTGTTATATTAGGGTCTATACGACGACATGGACCTGCATAGGTAACTTTTGTCATAAGCCATTATAATATTCAATTGCGAAACTTAAAAAAAAATCGGTGAATAAGTAGCTAAAATCATCAAAATACCGAATATCGGGAGTTACCCTTATATGGAGGCTATACGAAGACGTATACCTACACAGACAAATTTCCGTCATAGGCTGTAGTATCTGTTACGAACATCAAATATCACATTTGAAATAATTCCGGTAAATAATGTCGCTAAAATCATCGAAATACCGAATATCGGGGGGTACCGTTATATGGGGGCTATGCGAAGACGTGGCCCTGCACAGGCAATTTTCTGCCTTAGGCTGTAGTATCCGTTACGAACTAAAAATAACAAATTTGAAACAATTCCGGTGAATAATGTCGCTGAAATTATCAAAATACTGAATATGGGGAGGTACCGTTATATGAGGGCTATACGAAGACGTGGACCTACATATAAAAATTTTTATCATAGGCTGTAGCACCCAATACGAACTTTAAATACCAAAATTGAAATAATAATAAAACCATTAAAATACCGAATAAATACCAGGAGATACCGTTATATTGGGGCTATACCACAACGTGAACCTACATGACCCATTTTCATAACCAAAAGTCCTGCAGACATAATATACATTTGAGTAAAATTTTATCAATCTACTTCATTTCGTTCGGAAGCTAGAGTGATTCTACAGACGGACAGACGAACGGAAATCGCTAAATCGACATAGAATTTTATGCTAAAATGTATATTTCGAGGTGTTACAAACGAAATGACAAACTTTATATACCCTCCATGCTATGGTGGAGGGTAAATAAACAAGTTAAATAGTATTAGTCGGTTTTGCCGACAGATGTACGGGGAGAGATGAAAAAACTGCAATCAACTTCAGACTGCTGTCATTTCTAAGCCACTCGTCCGACAGCTGTTAAACTTATTGCAGTGACAGCTCATTATATTGTTTACAAGAGTAGAAAAGCATTTTGGGGAGAATTTTCCAGAAAAAAAGTTATTCGTGATGGAATTCAAGCGTGATAATGTGATTTCTTTATATTTGTCTGGATAACCACAAGTGGCTATCGTTAGAGCACTTCAACATATCGCAATAATCCATTCGGCAAATATTGAAAAATGTGCTCAGGGTAAAGCCATTGCAATTCAAAAAAAAGTGCAAGAACTTACACCGCAACAGAAAGAAAATAGACTCAAAATAGCTAAAGAGTTGATTTGCTTGGCCGAAAGAGGTGAACTGCCGAATTTGTGTTTCTCCGATGACAAAACGTTCGTTGTCCAGCCGTTTGTAAACAAACAAAATGATCGTGTTTACTTGCCAAAGAGGTCAGCTGAATGTGCACCTTCGGTTGGCCCTCAGAACTCAAGCGCCGGCCATGGTGATGGTGTGGGCCGCCATAACAGCAGTTGGTCGCTCTCCGTTCGTAATAATCGACCGTGGTATCAGAATAAATGCCGAATATTCAGGCATGTCACAGAAATTTTACGAAATCGATTTATTTCACCTTTTCCAAATCGTTACGATTTGCTTTTGCTTCTTCAGCACTCGTACGTTTTGACTAATCCGGAAAAAAAATCATTTCACATTTTTGAAATAAAAATATGGTAACTCCATGAAAAAAAAAAGTCGTAAACAAATTATTGACAATTAAAAAAGGAGTTTAAAATGGTTTTTAATAATATAAACACCAAAAGTAAAAATGCCAGGGGCTTCAATACTTGCTGTAATGGATGAAGAAATAAATCAGCGGTCTACTGAAAAAATTCGTCGCCGGACATTGAGGAACGCATCAGATCCTTTATCTCACTCAAATGCAGAGTAAGGATCCACCATTTTTAGTCCATTGTGTAAAATAATGTAAAGTTAAGAACGAGTCGTATTTGCTTTTTCCTGTTCTACAGCATATTTAAGAGTTTCAAGTTCAACTATTTTGAGTTTCATTTCGTTCCGTTCACGCATTCTCTTTTGCATTTCAATATTATGTAACTGCTCTTCCACATACTTTTTTCCAGGATGTTACAAAGTCTGTCCAACTTTTCAGTTTGTTTTTTCATTTCCTTACTGTTACCTTCTAGAATTTTACAAATTTTTTCCAAGTTTTGTAAATGAGAATTTTCCTCAACTAAAAGCGCATTTAGATCTTGGTTTGAGGGAGTTCTTGCCCGGGGTCTTTTTACTGCAGGCGTGGGTTTTGCTTTTGTTAGGCTGCCCGACACTTGTCTTATTGGTGTAGATGGCGGAGAACACGATAAGCTTTTATTTCAAATCGTTTTTGAATAGGTGTTCGCGAACGGTTTTCTTCCAATGTTGGTGTTCTTGGATCAATTGCCAATGTAGAAACATTTTTAAAAGCAGCTGGAATGCATGATCTTGGTCTATCTTTTTTATTTAAAATCGAAGTGGTCTGCTTTGAAGTTGAGGGTGAAAAATTAAGCTCTTCGTTTTCAGATTCACTTAAAACTAATTGACTTGATTTTCGAGTTCTTGGAATATGTGTAGATGATGACGAATCAAAGTTTTCTTTTTCAGAACAACTGAAGTCTAATTCACTTACAAAATCCGCAAAGCTTACTGCACCACCAACTCCATCGACACTTTTATACAATCCGCAAATCCTGATTAAACTGTTCTCGTGTTCACTGAAAACATATTGATTGATATCACCACCAAATAATAGATTTTTTGTAAAATAAATTCCAAAAACATGTTCATTCTAAGAGAATTTGGTTAATACAATATTTTCTGTTAAATGTATGTGTCTTCTGTTTATTTTTTACGTTAAAATCATTAAATATTTCAATTTCACCCTGCTTTTTGAAAGTGATATCAAAACGCAAAATTTTTGCGTTTTCCGTTTTTTAGAGAAGCTAAAACCGTTTTCGTTTTCACTCTTGAACGATTTTACATTCTGTGACATGCCTGATTATTGCGAAAATATTCTGGAGGGTGAAAGTGTATTAAAGCCTTAGGCACGCAAACATTTTGGCCGCAGACCTTGGACATTCCAATATGTCTCATCACTCAGAACGCGCAACCCAAGAATGGTTACAAAAAGAGGTTCCTCGCTTCATTTCAAGCGCACAATGGCCACAAAAACCTCCGGATACCAATCCGTTGGACTATTGTGTCTGGAGTGTTTTGGAAAGCAAGGTTGGCACTAAAAAATACCAAAGTGTCGATTACCTCAAGCAAGCGCCAAAATACTGCAGAGAAACATTCAGGCAGCGTGTGACGGTTTTATTGGCCGTTTGAAGGCCATAATTCGTGCCAAAGACCACCAATTCGATTACTTCCTATACTTTATATGACAAATAAGCAAATTTTTGGAAAATGTGGAAATATGCGTGAGTTGCCAGATATAGCGGACCGAAGTATTGAATCATAAATTCTGATAAATTACATATTCACATCAGATTTCTGGCTAAGAGAAATATTTAGACATATCAAGTTGTAAAGAGTCGCCGACTTGTTTCGCAAGTTATGACAGATAAAAATATTGGAATTTGTGACTCTTTGTGTGTGAGGTACCAGAAGGGATTGACAGATGCATATCATCTTCATAACAGGTCTGCGTTAGCAAAACTATTTGGAATGTGTGAAATTTAAAGAGAGTCAAAATATTCAACCCTATGTAGGGGAGATGCCAGAAGAAATGGTCCGTTCTCTACCATCTTTATAACAGGTCTTGTGTTGATGGAAATATTGAGCTGTACCAAGTCCGAATGGAATCGGATGTAAATTTCGCGTTTTTATGAGCTTCATGGATATTCAAAATTTTTTACCCTTTGGTGGGGAGGTAACACAAGGAGTGGACCGTTATATTCCATCTTCACACCAGACCTTGGGTTAATAAAAATATTGTGTGATGTGTGTAATTTGAAGAGAACCGGATGCTTATTTCAGATTTTATAATCGTTTTGGTTATTCAAAACATTGATCTTTTGCTGGGGAGGAACCAGAAGAAATTATCCGATATCTATCATCTTTATAACAGATCTTGTGATGTGTCAAGTCTGAATGGAATCGGATGTTAATTTCGCGTTCTATGAGCTTCATGGATATTTAAAATTTCGACCTTTTGTGTGGGAGGTACCCGAAGGAGTAGACCGTAATATTCCATTTTCACAGCAGATCTTATGTTAGTAGAAATAATGCGATGTGTGAAATATGACGATAACCTGATGTTTATTTCGGATTTTCTAATCAAAACTTTGACCCTTTGTGGGGGAGACACCAGAAGGAGTGGACTGATATATACCATATTCGCAACAGACCTTTGACTAATAAAAATTTTGCGATGTGTGTAATTTGAAGACAATCGGACTTTCACATCACATGTTATAGAAGTTATAATTATTCAAAATTTTGACACTTTGTGGGAGAGGTATTGGATGACGTGGACCGATATTGTCCATTTTCGCACTTGACCTAGAAAAATGTAAATATATATATTTTTTTTGAAAATTTCGACGCAGTTTGGAGCAAATCGAAAACTCCCTTCGTGAGTTATCGAGCCACTCAGACGGACGGACATCGCTAGATCGACTCCAAATGTTCTGAAACGGATTTAATCCAAAGAGACATATTGTCTAAAACAGTTATTTCGATGAGGCACGTTTTGACCGTATCTCTAGCCATATGGCTGAGGGTATAATAATGAGGACTGTGAATAATTTTGTCCGGCGCAGCCCAGTATGTTCACGTGTGTTTTCTTCTTTGTTGTAATTTTCTAATTTTCGGTGGGTTGCTGGACTTCTCGCAAAAAAGTATTCAATGTAGGTCCACTTTTTGGTATAGATTCTCGATTCGCCTGATTAGCTGTCATTTACCATTTCGATTTCCTACATAAGGTCCACTTTTTGAGATTGCCCCCCCTCACTTTCGGTATTTCGAAAGTTTTCTCTCCAATTTTCAATCAAATCAGTTATAAATTTTTATTTCAGGTTATTAGGATACTAATGCGGTCCGATCGAACTCAAAGTCTTGCTACTTTTTCTTTTCAAATAAAATTAATATCTCAAAGATTTTATTAAAGCTTCATTGCGGCAAAAAAATCCCTTTGCGTAACTATGTAAAACCGATACGGCTAGATTGCAGGACATCTTCGCATAGATTCAATTAAATAAGCATATCTGTTTGAGTAACCATATCTAATTAAGTAACCATAACTAATTAAGTAACCATATCTAAATTATGCAAATGTCATTTAAACATTCGAATCTCCACAGCAAAGAGGAAAAAACAGAAATGTTGACTTGTTGGCGCGCAATTGTAGCCAGTGTTTTTGATTTGAGACAAACATTTCGGAGGGCAATTGAGTCTCTTGCAGTGCGGCATCACCGCCATCGCCTCCAGCTATAAACAAAAAAATATTACGAAAAAAATCGATCAACATCCTCAGCCAAATGCCTACATAAGCTACTCACTTGTTTTCTTGTCAAATGTCGGCGACTGCGAGATGGCAATAATATCTTCGGGTTTTCGGAGCAAAATTTTTCCCACGCCCTTGCACATGCGCAACACCTCGTGATTACTTAGCTTTTCCAAATGCAATTGTTCCAACAGCGGACAGCTTAATATCCATTCGCGTACATCGTCGAAATCATTCAACAGCCGGACGGCTCCATTCACGCTGAATCGTATGTGCCGCTGATAAATATAGTCCAACCAGGCTTCACAGATAATTTTCAATATCAATTTCAAGATCACAACATCTTTGGTGGCCTTAATGCAGGGCAACATTATCTGATCCAGAACGTAGGCTACATATTCACTGGATTTCTCATTGTCGTATGTGTTGCGCTGCCAATACGTGCCGGCTGGAAAGCAGAGGGTAAAATTCGCTAAACTCAGCAGGCGACAAACATCGGAGAGTACTTGAACACATTCGTCGGTGGTTTTCTGTGGGATGGAACAAAAGAGAGAGAGAGAGCGAGTGAGAGCAAGAGAATGAGTTTTATCTTCACTAGGTATTTATGGGGGAATCCCCATAATTTTTTATTTGGGCTCCAGTCTGTGTGTTGTGTTTTTCAAAATCTTGAACCCTCTGTGGGCAGGTAGCAAAAGAAATGGTCCGATCTCTACCATCTTTATAACAGATCTTGTTTTGATGGAATCGGATGTTCATTTCGATTTTTATTAGCTTCATGAATATTCAAAATTTGGAACCTTTGTGGGGGAGGTACCAGGAGTGGAGTGGACCGATATATCCCATCTTCACAACAGATCTTGTGTTAGTAGATATAATGGGATGTGTGATGCTTATTTCGCGTTTTATGACCTTCATGGATATTCAAATTTTTACACCTTTGTAGGGGAGATACCAAAAGGAATGGTCCGATCTCTACCGTTTTTTAAACAGATCCTGTGTTGATAAGAATATTCAGAAGTGCCAAGTCTAAAAGGAATCGGATGTATATTTCTCGTTTTATGACCTTCATGGATATTCAAAATTTAGACCCTTTGTGGGGGAGCTACCAGAAGGCCTAAACCGATATATTCCATTTTCACACCAGACCTTGGGTTAATGAAAATATTGGGATGTGTGAAATTTGAAGACAATCGGACACTTACATCACATTTTATGAGAGTTGTAATTATTCAAAATTTCGCCCTTTTGTGGGAGAGGTACTTGATGGAGTGGACCAATATGGTCCATTTCCGCACCAGACCTAGCACTGACACATATATTAGGATATGCAAAGTTGGAGCAAAATCGGATTATCCTTTCTCTTTCTGTGCAAAAAATATATTTTTTGAAAATTTCGATGTTTTGTGGGGGAGGTACCAGAAGGAGTGGACCGATATTGTCTATCTTAACACCAGATCTTAGGTTAATAAAAATATTGGGATGCGTGAATTTTGAAGACAATCGGACACTTACATCACAGTTTATGAAAGTTGTAATTATTCAAAATTTTGACCCTTTGAGGGGGAAGTACTTGATGGAGTGGACCGATATTGTCCATTTTCGCACCAGACCTAGCACTGACGCAAATATTAGGATATGCAAAGTTGGAGCAAAATCGGATTATCCTTTCTCTTTCTGTGCAGTAAATTATTTTTTTTGAAAATGTTGACATTTTGTCTCCGAACTCGATCCTTATTTGAGAATAATATTACGATGTACCAAGCTTAATTTTTGAAAAAGTTACAGGGCATCCATTCTCCTTGTAATTTCAGTTGCTTTAGTTTTGACCACCAGTGTATGTCATGTAAAGTGAAGGACGTTACCAATATAGTCCAAACCTGGCACGTCGCAATATTTATATCATATTTATTTAGGTCCGATACGAAATGGCCAATATTGGCCCATTCCGTCGGAACCTACTCCATAAGGGGTTAAACATTTGAATAATCATAACAGAAGTCATAATATTTTTAAGTAATCGTACATTGGCTGAGGGTATACATCTGTCGGCAGCGATGCCAACTTAGTGCTTTTCGCGCTATTTATGGTGCTTTTTAGAACCTCCAAAACGCCAAAATAGTGGGCATAGCGCGAAACGAAAAAAAAGCACTGTACGTACGCTTTTCATCTTTTCTGTTGGTGCTTTTAGCGGGTTTTAGATTTTAAAATGTTGCAATGTTCATACATTCGAATATTTTGATAGTACGGCATATATATTTGATAGTATGGCATCTACTTATCGCAAGTTCTTTACTGCAAATTCTTAAAGTGTCTTTCATTCTTGTCAGTTCTTTTGTATACACTCTTACCCTTTTTTAATAAAGCAAAATAAAACGAATTTTGTATGTTATAAACCAATTGAAGGAAAAGTAAAATGAACGAGAAAAAAACGTAAGTTCATACAGGGCTGCTTTGTGGTACGAGTTTACAGAATAAACGTAAATGTTTACATTGATTCTTACAGGTGGATAAACATTTGCAAAAATATAGAACGGCTTGGGAGAAAGAAAGATGAAATGGCTGCGCCCTACAAATGATACGACAAAAGCTGCTTGCCTATACTGCAGGACAGAAATTCTGGCACGGTATAACGATTTGGTAAGACACTCCCGTACCAAGAAGCACACGAAACTATTGCAACCTTTTGGTGGAGTGAATGTAAAGCAGACGGAAATATCGTTTATTCCAAAAGAAGCAAGTGAGATGCAAAAGGCTCAAGGAAGACTTTCCCTTTATGTTGCTGTACATTCGTCATTTCTGGCCGTGAATCATTTGGCAGAAGTTTGCAAATTGGAGTTCGCTGACAGCAAAGCAGCAAACTTTTCGCTGCATCGCACAAAATGTGCAAATATAGTTAATAATATCCTGGCTCCCCATTTGATCGATAATTCGTGTGTCATTCGCTACAATTAGCTGTATGTGCCGCAACAGGCGAACATTTACCAAACAATTTGGAATTTTTAATCAGCGAAACTTATAAATGGTTTTGCAATTCTTCAATGCGTCAAAACGCGTATGCCAAAATTTTTAAGCTACTTAATAGCGACGCACTAGATCCGTATAAAATACCAAGAGTTTCTGACACTAGATGGATGTCCATCGAAAAGGCTGTGAAGCGTATATTAGGCATGTGGTTGGAACTTAAAACTCATTTTAATGTTATCCATGACAAGCAAAAGGAGTATGTTTTGACATTACTAAGAAATATGTACAACGATCAGAAAAATTTTATTTATCTAACATATTCAAGTTCAATATTGGGTGAAGTTCAAAGAGTAAATTTGGCCTTTGAAGCAGACAACGCAGATCAAGTAAAATTACATTGTGACCTGTATCGTTTACTTAAAAGTTTAACCAACAAAATTATTATAGAGTCAGAAAGTTTTAATTATTTCGAAGATCCTATTGAAAATTCTTTAGACGAATTTTGCTACCTTGGGCATAGTTTTGAAAAAGCGTGTAAAGATTCCTTGATTTCAGAAGACGAAAAGAAAACAATTAAAGAAAAATGTATTATATTCACCAAACATCTTGTATACGAAATCCGATGTAAACTTCCAACCAACTTTGAAACACTACAAAAGATATCATTGTTTAGTGTAAAAAATATTCTATATAACTATTGTCGTAATACTGACATTTATTAAATCTTATATTAAAGACGTGGATGTCATTTCTAACATGGAACTTAGTATTGATAACATCAGAAATTGTGAATGGAAGAATAAAGATCGAACAGATCTTTTCTGGATAGAAGTAAATGAGTTCAAAGATTCCATAGGGCAAAATCCCTTTCAAGATTTATCAGAATTCGTTATAAAACTGTTAAGCTTCCCATACTCAAATGCAGAAGTAGAAAGAGCATTCAGTGCTATGAATTTATATAAATCGAAAATCAGAAACAGATTATCATTAAATTCTGTAAATTCTATTTTACATATTAAATATGGCCTTCGTCGAGAGAATGCGTGCTGTGACAAATATGACCTGCCGTCAAATGTCTGTAAAAAAATTTCTACACAAGAAGTTTACAAAAAGTCAAACTATTTTTTACAAACTATCTTATGGCAAAATGAAGAAACTGATGCAGACATTTCAACTGCATTTGAAACTATGGGCTTTATAGATGAGCATAATTGTTTGTAAAAATGTATATGTCTGTAAGTTTTAAACACATATAAAATGTTCCTAATATATCATATTTTTTAAAAATATGTATGCACTTATATACCTGAAATATTTATATAAGATACGATCTCAATTTTTTAAAATATGTATTCGCTTATATACATGAAATGTTTATATAAGATACGATCTGAATTTTTGAATAAAACAGTATTTAGTTTTAAAAAAAGTGTTTTCTTGACAATTTCGGCATTTTGGTAAGAAAAAAATACATAGCGCTTTTTACGCTTTTTTAAGGAATTTTTTTACGCCATTTACGCTTTTCTGGTTTTTAATTACGCTTTTAGCTCTCAAAATGTTGGCAACACTGTCTGTCGGCAAAACCGACCGATACTTGTTATTTGGTATGGGAAATGAAAATTGAGAGAGAGAGAGAGAGAATACGCGTGCTTTGTTTACACTTTTTCGTTCGAGGCTGCTCATAGATGATTGTATGTACTCTCAGAGTACACGAACAGAGCTTATTGCAAATTGTTGGGTAAACGAATACGTCAGTATTTTCTTGTCATAGGGAGACGTAACCTCTTTTGGAGAACATACGTTGCAAACGGACGCACCCGCAGTTTGTGGTCATCAAGAAACATAATTCCTTTTGGAAAGCACCCAGAAAATGCAAGCAAACGAAAACAGCAGCAAATCAATAATGTTCGGTGGATCAACTATAACTACGATTGAAAAGGCGGATTACCAACACATGTGGTTAATTAAAAATTGGTCACTATATAAAGAAATAACTACTTTACGATCGCCTCGAATTGTAATACTTAAAAAATATGTCCAATCCCACTGGGATATTGAATTAGTGCAGTCTGCTTCGAAGCTAGAATTCGGCATATGTTTGGCCTCAACGAAAATGGCTGACACATGTTTTGATATGACATTGTCTGTTCGGAACTCTAAAGGCGAAGAAATATTTGGTCCTATAAAGAGAGAGAAGGTAAATAAAGGAGAACTCATGCAGTTCAGAACATCGACGGACATTTTGAAGAAGATAAATTCATTTCCTTTCGATCACATACAAGTGATCCTTTATATTGAAAACACTGTAGCAAGGCACAACAGCTCAACGTACGACAATAACGAAAGATTATATAACCTGAAAAAGGACTTTGCCAACCTTTTACAAAATGAAGACTTTAGCGACGTGACTATCATATCAAGCGAAGGTGACGAATTCAAAGCCCACAAAAGTATACTAAGTGCCCGAAGTGAAGTTTTTGCTGCCATGTTTCGCTGTAATTTATCGGAAGCTAAAACAAATCGTGTGCCAATTGATGACGTGGACGCCGAGACAATGAGGGAATTGTTATCGTTCATTTACAGCGCCAATGAAACACCCAAGAATTTGGCGGCAAAACTTTTGCCTATTGCTGATCGCTATGCTCTGATGGACTTGAAAACAATTTGTGAGCAACATTTGATGGAAGCGATCTCATATGACACAGCATGTGACATTCTCCTTCTGGCAAAGAGGATTTGCAATGAACGAATTGAGGGTGAGGTTGTACAATATATTGTAAACAATATTAGATCCGTCACAAGCACATCAAACTGGAAAAATCTTGAAGAGACAAATCCGCAATTATGCTTAGAAGTTTTAAAGTTAAATATTACTAATCGTTTGTAAATTATTCCTTGCGATGGAGGCAAAATAATAAAGAAGTGTTGGTGTCTAATTTGAAAATGTTCTCCCTATATTTTCTCACCAGAAATGGTGGTATGCATGATGACATGGCAAAATTATACAAGGGTACCCTCACGTGTTAACATCGAATACATGGAAGTGTAAAGATAGGACAAAACAGAGTCAAAATATGGCAACCCTGTGAAAATACCTCCGTTGGTACTTGATATGGTAACAACATGGGTACCAATAGGTGTGTCTGGTTACTTTTCCTGCAGGAATTGTCCAGTAACTTCTTTCTGAGAGAGTAAGGTAGTTTTATTCTCTTTTGCAAGGAAAATGCGAAAAGTAAACAGACGGTATTCCTGCAGAAGCTTGCAACTAATCAGCTGATTTGTCAAAACAAACCAATTTGTCCCCCATAAGGAGAATTAAAACAAAGGAAGCAATACTAATTTTACAAGTTTTTTAAATAAAAATGTTGAAAATAGTGTTTTATTTTCTTATTATATATTAACATTTACGTTTTTCACATTTTGTAAAGTTGTTCTCCAAAAACTATTAGTCTTGCTAATTCCAAAAAAATATTTTCAAATTGAAAGCACAAAAATAAATAAACAAACAATAGAAAACATCTGATTGAATGCCGATGAATGAGAAGAAGAAGAGTTGCAAGCGATTGCAAGAAGAAATTTTTCCAGCAAGAATTTGCAAACTCTCACTGAAAGAACTGTCAAAATTTCTCTCTCCAACCGCTCTCTTTTGCAAAACTTTTGGGTTAACAGACGACTTCCAGTAACAATTTGTAACAATTGTTACAAACTTTAGGGTAACCAGACGCACCTAATGTCAACTGATTTAAACCGCTATGCCAATATGCAAATTTTTGGAAAGGTCTATGGAATATAATATTGAAACAAAAATTTTGGATTTTTGACATTTTTAGTAGTTATTCCTTTCTTTAATTGTGATTTTTATATTAAGCGTCTGATTTTTATATTGAGCGTCCGTTGGCCGTTTAATTTGATGCTATTTCCCACATTTTTTGCTTTCATTCAATAAAATTAAAAAAAAAAAAATTAAAAATTATAGCACTTGACTATGTTTCATCCGCTATGGTGTTTAAGTCCCCCATATTCGTAATATGCATTTAACAACAATGATATTTGATATCAGATATCCTATAGAGCTCGGAAATACCTTTGCCAAATTTTATCGAGATCGGCTAAGATTTGATGAGATTGAGGTTTGAGGTTTATTGTGCAAATAATGGCTAATATCAGCTCAAATGGATTGCATTTCGGGTCATACGTTTCCATTTGGCGAAACTCGGCTCCGAAGTAATATCATGCTCAAATTTGCTGAAAATCGATTCAGAATTGGATATGCCTCCCATATATTAGTGCTCTAAGGCCAAAGGTTAATAGTTGGTGTGATCACTACCCAATATACAGTCTTTTGTTGCGGGAACTCTACTAAATATGCACAGTGGCAGACGGGCCGCCCGATTTTTGACTTTTCGTTACTGATCGGTCAAATGCCGAAATACCGACAAAAGTTGTGAAAAATTCGAAGTTTACAACAGTTTGCCGCATATTTTTATAGTTAAATTTGATATAATTGGTCAATGATCAATATAACGTTGACAATTTTTTCTCAGTTTTTTATAGATGATGCTTTTTGTAAATCATTAACTAAAAAAAAGTAAATGGTTAAATATCGTGTAAAATATAATTATATTCCCCGTTGAAATGGTCACCTTTACAACTTTCCTTACCTCGACTGGAAACATATAATAAAATGCCTAACACTACTCTTTAATCAGTTTCTTAAGTTTTTAACGCGTTTTTTTTCAATGAAAAATCCACTTGACAACACTGTGTATTTGCTCCATCGTTCGCTCACTACTCCGTTCTGCAGGTGACAATTTTTATTTTTTACTTGCATCTATCTTCCAAACAATTGTTTTTTTTTGATGTTTCCCTTTGCATTTTCCGGTCATTGTTTGGTTGTTTCATCTTTCACCAACCATAAGCAAAACGCAGTTAGTCATGCTGCAACAAGACACACACACATACCCCCACAACAGAACAAAGCAAAAATGTGCAAATGTACACGGAACAACAAGAACAACAACGATCACACGACACGAAGAGAATACGAAGGAATGGAACAAGTATAATCCCCAAAACAACAATTCACAATATGTAGTTGACACTCTGTGAGATCTCCAAAATATATTTTTACAACAGAAATGAAAGAAAGGGAGGGAGAGCGAATGCGAGAGAGAGACATGTAAGCAGCCAGTGTCAGAGAGTCAGAGAAATAAAATGTAAGATAAGCATTTTGCAAACAAGCCCAGCAAGCATTGTTTGTCGCTGACATAACTATAGAGTCACCAACAGGCGATGAAAACCCTCGCCGGCGATCTCGAATCTTTAACCAAAAAGTTAAACCGTTCGGGAAGAAATGAACCACACACTCGTTACTTCTTAACATTGACTTTTTAGTGGCAGATGAAATTGACGACTAAGTAACGTTCAGTCGTTACAATAAAGGTAATTTAAGGAAGTAACGAGAGCGTGGTTCATTTCTTCCCGAACGGTTTACCTTTTTGGTTAAAGATTCGAGATTGAGGGCGTGGGTTTTCATCGACTGTTGGTGACTTTATTGATTTGTATGCGATATGCAATGCCTTCAGAAAGTAAAAAAGAGCTGGAAGTCTTTAAAATAAAATTATTATTTCTTTAACTTTATTAATATAATTTCAAATAAATAAGCGTAATTAAACAATAGGTAAAACACATACAAAAAGCATAAGTAAAACACAGTTATTAACACAAAATTTAATTTTATTTTTTCACTAAATAATATTAATTTTTTTATTTTTGTATATCACTTCTTTTTTAAAAAATTATTTGAACACATACACCAAAAAACACTGAAAAAAGGCACAATTATATTTCACTAAATAATTTAAATATATTTTTTCATTTAATAGTTTTTTTCATTCGTGCACCAATGCCGATCTCCGACAAACTGAACTCGTTTAATATTGTTCTCCGTTTTGGGAGTAAAACAAAACAATCGCTCTTTAAACTACGGGAAGTGCCAAAAAAGTTACTATTGGAGATGAAAATTAGTTGATTGTAGTGGGGCAATAGAATTGTTATTGCAAATAGACCAACTATCGACGTTTCACAAGCAGGAAGCGACAAAGTAGTATAATATTAGGTGATGGAGTTAAAAACTCACATCCAAATGCTTGCAGGGAGGAGTCCAATGTATTTCCTTAGTAAACAAATTTTAGTAAAGCCAGACGCTGAAAATACGCGTTAGTCATTCAAAACAAAACTATATAGTTTTAAACATTTCTTTCATCACTTCAAAATTGTAAATTTTCGAGTTTAACAAAAAACAAACAAAGACTCAATAAATTTGAATTGAATTGTATTTCCGGCGTTTCGCAGGGTTGCCATACTAATTTTACCATTTTATATCTTCACATATGTTATTCAACGAAAGTAAACTATGTATTTAAAATAAATTTTTAATTCATTTAAAAAAGGGAGCATTTTGGATGTTAAAAAAAGACAAGGAAAAATTTAATCTAAAACAGAAAAATAAAATATTCGACTCATAAGATTTGATTATGAAAAAATGGTTGAATTTAGCTTTAAACGATTTTACTGCTATAACTTATACACATACCTAGAAATCCACAAGGGTATGGCAAAAACTAATAAAGTTCTCGGCAAGTGTAGAATCTGCTCTATTTCGAACGAATTTTGCTCCCTCTTAAAAATGATCGATTTTTTTACATATATGGCGGATAATAACCGTAAAATCGGACGTAGATATATATCGAAGGTATAAAAAAAATCTGAATAGATCTCGATAAAATTTGGCAAAGGTATTTTCGAGCTGTACCTGATGTCCGGTATCAAATATCATTGTTTTGGAGTGCATATTACACATGTGACGGGGCTTAAAACCGCAAATCGGAAGAAAAATATATATGGGAGCTATAGCCATATTTGAACCGATTTTCCGTCGGAAGTGCCATTTGGTGCACAATAAACCTGATATCGGATAAAGATATCTATGGGAGCAATATCCTAATCTGAACCGATCTCGATAAAATTTGAAAGAGGTACTTTCGAGCTTTATCCGATGTCTGGTACCAAATATCATTCTTCAGGAGTGCATATTACGCATGTGAGGGTCTTAAAACCGCAAATCGGGTGAAACATATATATGGGAGCTATAGAAAAATCTGATAAATTTTGGCAGAGGTATTTCTGGGTTGTATCTGATATCTGGTACCAAATATCATTGTTGTTTAAGATAGGAAACTAAAATTTTACACAGATCAGGGAGGTAAAGTTCGAAGTTCCGTTATTCCGTATTTTCCCGATATTCCGTATTTTCCCGATATTCCGTATTTTGATGATTTTAGGTAAATTTTTCCACGGAATTGTCTGAAATTCTACACAAGGAGTTCCTTCAGAGTACTTTACCCCCTGTATATAACTGAACCTACCGATATTCGGTATTTGGATAATTTTAGCCACTTTTTTAAATGGAATTGTCTGAATTTCTACACAAGGTGTTCTTTGTGGGTACTTTACTCCCTGAAGGAGAATTGTCTTTATAGAACCACGATGTCGTATAGCCCCCATATAACTGTACCTCCCGATATTCGGTATTTTGTTGATTTTAGGCACATTTTTAATAGAATTGTTTGAAATTCTACACAAGGAGTTCCTTCTGAGTACCTAACCTCCTAAAGCAGAATTGTCTATATAGGTTCACGATGTCGTATAGCCCCCATATAACTGTACCTCCCGATATTCGGTATTTTGATGATATTAGCCACATTTTTTAATAGAATTGTTTGAAATTCTACACAAGGAGTTCTTTGTGGGTACTTTACTCCCTGGAGGAGAATTGTCTTTATAGGTACACGATGTCGTATAGCTCCCATATAACTGTACCTCCCGATATTCGGTATTTTGTTGATTTTAGGCACATTTTTCAATGGAATTGCCTGAAATTCTACACAAGGAGTTCCTTCTGAGTACCTAACCTCCTAAAGCAGAATTGTCTATATAGGTTCACGATGTCGTATAGCCCCCATATAACTGTACCTCCCGATATTCGGTATTTTGATGATATTAGCCACATTTTTTAATAGAATTGTTTGAAATTCTACACAAGGAGTTCTTTGTGGGTACTTTACTCCCTGGAGGAGAATTGTCTTTATATGTACACGATGTCGTATAGCTCCCATATAACTGTACCTCCCGATATTCGGTATTTTGTTGATTTTAGGCACATTTTTCAATGGAATTGCCTGAAATTCTACACAAGGAGTTCCTTCTGAGTACCTAACCTCCTAAAGCAGAATTTTAGCCACATTTCTTAATAGAATTGTTTGAAATTCTACACAAGGATTTCCTTCTGAGTACCTAATCTCCCGAAAAAGAATTTTCTTTATAGCTCTACGATATCGTATATCCCCCATATAACTGTACCTTCCGATATTCGGTATTTTGATGATATTAGCCACATTTTTCCATGGAATTGTCTGAAATTCTACACAAGGAGTTCTATGTGGGTACTTTACTCCCTGGAAAAGAATTGTCAATATAGCTCTACGATATCGTATATCCTCCATATAACTGTACCTTCCGATATTCGGTATTTTGATGATATTAGCCATATTTTTCCATGGAATTGTCTGAAATTCTACACAAGGAGTTCTTTGTGGGTACTTTACTTCCTGGAGGAGAATTGTCTTTATAGGTCCACGATGTCGTAAAGCCCCCATATAACTGTACCTCCCAATATTCGGTATTTTGTTGATTTTAGACACATTTTTCAATGGAATTGCCTGAAAGTCTACACAAGGAGTTCCTTTTGAGCACCTAATCTCCCGAAAAAGAATTGTCTTTATAGGTCCACGATATCGTATAGCCCCCATATAACTGCACCTCCCGATATTCGGTATTTTGTTGATTTTAGCCACATTTTTTAATAGAATTGTTTGAAATTCTACACAAGGAGTTCTTTGTGGGTACTTTACTCCCTGGAGGAGAATTGTCTTTATAGGACCACGATGTCATATAGCCCCCATATAACTGTACCTCCCGATATTCGGTATTTTGTTGATTTTAGGCATATTTTTCAACGGAATTGCCTGAAATTCTACACAAGGAGTTCCTTCTAAGTACCTAACCTCCTAAAGCAGAATTGTCTATGTAGGTTCACGATGTCGTATAGTCCCTATATAACTGTACCTCCCGATATTCGGTATTTTGATGATTTTAGCCACATTTTTTAATGGAATTGTTTGAAATTCTACACAAGGATTTCTCTGTGAGTACTTTACCCCCTGAAAGAGAATTGTCTATATAGGTCTACGTTTTAGTATACCATCCGTATTACGCTAACCCGAGATATTCGGTATTTCCAAGATTTTCGAGAAATTATTCACCGGAATTTCGTCAAATTTCGTATTTGAAGTTCGTAATGGCTACTAAAACCTATGATGGAAAATTGTCTGTGCAGGTCCACGTCTTAGTATAGCCCCCATACAGCGGTACCTCCCTTTATTCGGTATTTTGATGATATTAGAGACATTATTCACCGGAATTGTTTCGAATTTCGTATTTGAAGTTCCGAATCGGTACTACAGCCTATGACAGAAAATTGTCTATGCAGGTCCAGGTCTTCGTATAGCCCTCATATAAAGATTTTTATTTGAGCGGTAATTCTCGACCGAATTTTTTTAATCCAAATCCAGTGGGTTAGCCCATTTATCTATAAACGTCCTGCTGCCCCTGTGCATGGAATAATGTTGCAAAATAAACTTACCTTTAATTTGACAATATTGACATTGATCTCACATATCAATTTGGTGCGCAGCGCCACACAGACCAACATCAAGATATCACTGAGATCGGCAGTTAATTTTGGCAGTTTAAAATTGCTGAATGCTTGCAGACATAACCGCACATCATTTTCCAATATTTGAAAGAAGCGATCCATTTTCCATTCATTGCATAGTTTTTTACATTCTTCCTTGACCCACAGGCGCATACTGTGGACCGAGTGATCTGCAAAAAAAAAAAGTTCCGAAACAGATTAATATTGAAACTTAATCACACACACACCCTACTTACCTATTCTATGTAGTATTGGAATTTGTTCGGCAACTGGCAGCAGACTTGAATTGGTGAAATCAGAATTTTGAAAATAATTGTTACTCAAATTTATGAGATTTGTGAAAATCGCAATCCAAACTGTTCCCGTGGCCGTGCCAAATTGCTGGAAGAATGAGAAATAAGTTTAAGTTTAGATTTGGGCCAATGAACGAACACCTTACATTTTTCGGTGATTGTTTGTATTGTTGCAGAAACTGTTCCACAGTTCCCGTTTGCGCCGTGGCCGATATTAGGGTCAAACGAAATAGGCGATCCCACAAATTGTTACTAACAAAATTGGTCAAAATCTCACCAATACCCTGCAGTGTGGAATAAACTGGTTCGGGAATATCTAAATTGACCGTTTGAAATTTCAATGAATCTGGATGTCGTGAAATCTAGGCCTGTGATGTCTTACCTCGAACATTGTGCAAATATAACCAGTTACGTATTGAATCCACATGGGCCAGGGAGTAGCATGATATCGGTGTATCGATCCACCAAAGTATTATGTGATCCAATATTATGCCCACATAGGACCACATTAGACGCATACCACGCAGCACATATTCATGTAGATCGTCGTGATTGCAGTGACCTGTAAAAGAAGATATATTTTTTTAAGGAAAATATCGGCCCGGCCGAACCTTGGAAAACCTCTCCACAATTGGAAAAGAAAAAAAGGAAGGAAAATTTTCAAAAAAAAAAAAAAAAATAGGACGGGTCCGATTATATGATACCCTACACCACTGTGCATATTTAGTAGAGCTCCCGTAACAAAAGTATTTTTTTTTTTTGGAGTAGATCATACCACCCATCAACCTTTGGCTTTAGAACAGCTATAATTTGATTTCAGAGGGAACTAATACTTGGGAGGCATATCCAATTCTGAATCGATTTACACTAAATTTTACGGAGACATTTTTTATTTTTTTATACCAAATAACATTGCTATAGAGTGCATGATATCACTTCGAGAAGGATTATATTGGAAAAATATATATCGGAGCCGAGTTCCACCAAATGGAAACGTACGTCCCGAAATTCACTGCATTTAGGCTGATATTAACAATTATTTGCACAATAAACCTGAAATCGGATTAAGGATATATATATATATATGGGAGCTATATCCAAATCTTTGCCGATCTCGATAAATTTTGGCAAAGGAAATTCCGAGCTCTATAAGATATCTGATACCAAATATCATTGTTGCCGAATGCATTTCACGAATGTGGCGGACTTAAAACCCCAAATCGGATAAAACATATATATGTGGGAGCTATAGCTATATCTGAATCGATTTTCTCCGAATTCGATGTACTTGTTTCTAGTCTGAATTCAGTCGGATTTGCCAAAATCCACGTCATTTGGACTGATATTGGCCATTTGGTGTACAAAATAACCCGAAATCAGTTGAAGATATACAGGCTGAGATGAAAAAAACTGCAACCATCTTCAGACTGCTATCATTTCTAAGTCACTCGTCCGACAGCTGTTAAAATTATTCCAGTGAGAGCTCATTATATTGTTTACAAGCGCACAAAAGCATTTTGGTGAGAATTTTCCAGAAAAAAAGTTATTCCTGACGGAGTTCAAGCGTGATAGTGTGATTTCTTTACATTTGGCTGGACCAACCACAAGTGGCTATCGTTAGAGCACTCCAGCATTTAAATGTGAATAAATCTTTTGCGTCTCGTACCATCGCTCCTTACCGTCGATACTGGTAGCGTAGTCCGACGTCAAGGAAGTGGACAGAAGAAAACAGTAACATCAGCAGAAATGATTCGAAAAGTAAAGAAGCGACTTGATCGAAACCCGCGTTGCAGTGGCCGAAAAATGGCCACATATCGCAATAATCCGTTTGGCAAATATTGAAAAATGAGCTCGGGGTAAAGCCGTAGAAATTCCAAAAAGTGCAAGAACTGCAACAGAAAGAATAAGAAAATAGTCTTAAAACAGCCAAAGAGTTGCTTCGCTTGGCTTGGAAAGTGGTGAACTGCCGAATTGGTTTTCTCCGTTCTCCGAAGAGGAAACTTTCGTTATCCAGCAGTTTCTAAACAAACAAAATGATCGATCGTGTTTACTTGCCAAAGAGGTCAGCTGAAAATGTACATCTTCGGTTGGCCACCAGAACTCAAGCGCCGGCCATGGTGATGGTGTGGGCCGCCATAACAGCCGATGGTCGCTCTCCGCTCGTATTAAACGAAAATGAAGCTTGATTGTTGCCTAAAGGTTTGCGTACATGCCAATGTTGGCTCTAAAGAAAGGTTGCAGATATTGAAGGTCAAGGTTCAACGAGACTTAACATTGAAGGATGATGTAAATGAGTATAAATGGCGTGTCGCATAAAATCAGGTGAAGTAACTCAAACGGAAATCGGTGGCTGCTGAGGAGAGAACACGTACAGTCAGAGTTCAAACAAATATCTCAAAGAAAAGTCTTTGGAGGAGGAAGTAAAACTGTTTTCTGAGAGGTAGCCTTTTTCACAAAAGGCCCCTCGAGCAGCTGAGAGCAAAGGAAAAAAGTCCAGTAAAAACGAAAATGTTGAAGTAGAAGACACCATTACTGAAGTTAAAGTAGGCGGGGAAGAAAAAAAGTATCAGGTGCCCAGGAGACTTGAATGGAGAGCTCTCAAACACTGAAGCATCGAAGTGGTAAAGAATACATACAATGTCATACTCACGTGGAAGCGGATCACGACAGAAGTTAAGGATAAACTGTTCGTCAGTGAGATGAAAGCGAAGAAGGATGGCAATCTGGGTCGCTGGAATAATACGATGCTGTAGGAAGCTCAAGTAGTTATTAAAGATGCCAAGGGGAAGTGGTGTAGGACGTCAGGACGGAGTGACATGAAATTATGAACGTGGGGTCCAAGGTTTGTAAGAGGGCGCTGTCAGAAAAAAATGACATCTTTGGCCACAGAAAGAAGACGACACATAAAGGGGACTCAGCCTGGAAATCGAAGCCGTCAGACAAAGAAGGTGGCAGCTTCAAGAGACACCGGCTGGAAAGATGGAGGGGCTTCCTGGTTGCCATATATTCTAATTCTAAAAATTCTGTAACACAGGTTAAAAAAGTACCAGCCGGTTTTGCCGACAGATGACAGAACCTCAGCCAATGTTCGATTATTTAAATATATTTTGATTTCTGTTATGATTATTCAAATTGTTAAGTCTCTATGGAGTAGGTTCAGAAGGTATGGGCCAATATTGTCCATCGGACCTAAACAAATATGATTTAAATATTGCGACGTTCCAGGTCTGGACTATATCTACTGCTTCCTTCACTTAATATGAGATAATTTTTAGAAAATTTTGAAAAGTGCGTGGGGTTGCCAGATGTTATCGAAGAATCGCTGACTTCTTTCGCAAGTTGTGACAGATGAAAGTATTGAAAATTGTGATACCTTGTGGGTGGGATACCAGGAGGGGTTCGCAGATATGTATCATCTTCACGACAGATCTTGTGTTAGAAAAAATATTTGTTTGTGCGAAATGTGAAGAGAGTTGGATGCTTATTTCGGGTCTATGATCCTTTTTGGTTATTCAAAATTTTGACTGTTTGTGGGGGAGGTACCAGAAGGTATGGTCCGATCGCTACCATCTTTATAACACATCTTGTGTAGATGGAAATATTGAGATGTGCCAAGTCTGAATGGAATCGGATGTTAATTTCGTGTTTTATGAACCTCAGGGATATTCGAAATTTGGACCCTTTGTGGGTGGAGGTACCAGAAGTAGTGGACCGATATATTTCATCTTCACACCAGACCTTGGATTAATAAAAAAATTTTGATGTGTGTAATTTAAAGACAACCGGATGCTAATTTAAGATTTTATAACCGTTTTGGTTATTCAAAACTTTGACCCTTTGTGGGGGAGGTACCAGAAGGAATGATCCGATCTCTACCATCTTTATAACAGGTCTTGTGTTTATGGAAATATTGATATGTGCCAAGTCCTAATGGAATCGGATGCTAATTTCGCGTTTTATGAGCTTCGTGGATATTCAAAACTTTGAGCCTTTGAGGGGGAGGTACCAGAAGTAGTGGACCGACATATCCCATTTTCACACCAAACCTTGGGTTAATAAAAACATTGTAATGTGTGTAATTTGAAGAGATTCGGAAGCTTATTTCACATTTTATAAGAGTTATAATTATTGAAAATAATGACCCTTTGTGGGGAAGGTACTTGATGGATTGGACCGATATTGTCTATTTTCACACCTGACCAAGAGCTGATGCAAACATAAGGATTTGCAAAGTTGTAGCAAAATTGGATTATCCCTTCTCTTTCTGTGCAGTAAAATATTTTTTTTTCATTTTAGGCGTTTGTGGGGCCGATATTGTCCACCTCCGAACTCGATCTAAGTTGGATAATAATATTACGATGTACAAAGTTTGTAACAAATCGGATACTCCCTTCGAGAGTTATGGTGCGCACCAGGCAAACATACGGTCCGGACGGACGGACATCGCTAGAACGACTCCAAATTTGATCCAAAGAGACCTTAGGTCTATAAGCTTTATTTAGGTGAGGCACCTTCTGGCCGTATAAATAATATATACCCTCTGTTGCCATATGGGTGGGGGTATAAAAAACACGTCTAAAGCCTTGTAGATCCTTTGAAAAAAATAATCTCAAAAATCCACGTATACAGCCTTTTGGGTGTTTTGAAAAAATCCTGAAAAATCCTTGGTTACAGCCTTGTGAGAGTTTAAAAAAATATCAAAATAATCCACGTTTGAAGCCTTGTGGATCCTTTGAAAAAACCCGAAAAATCCATGGTTACAGCCTTGTGAGAGTTTCAAAAAAATCTAAAAAATCCGCGTTTAAAGCCTTGTGTATCCTTTGAAGACATATCCTTAAAAATCCACTTTTATAGCCTGGTGGTTCCTTTGACAAAAATATTTTTAAAAATTCACGCTTACAGCCTTGTGGGTCCTTTAAAAAATCCTAAATATCTCAGTTTATTGCCGTGTTAATCCTTTGAAAAAAATATTCTTAAAAATCCGCTTTTATAGCCTTGTGGTTCATTTGACAAAGATTTTTTTAAAAATTCACGCTTAAAGCCTTGTGGTTCCTTTGACAAAAATATTTTTAAAAATCCACGCTTAAAGCCCTGTGGTTCCTTTGACAAAAATATTCTTAAAAATCCAGTTTAGTATCTTGTGGGTCCTTCAAAAAATCCTAAAAATCTCAGTTTTGTGCCTTGTGAATCCTTTGAAAAAATATTCTTAAAAATCCAGCTTTAAAATCTTGTGGGTGCTTTAAAAAAACTCCAAAAAGTCCACGCTTAAAGCCTGGTGGGTGCTTTAAAAAATACGCGTTTAAAGCCTTGTGGATCCTTTGATAGAATTTTCTGAAAAATCCACGTTTAAAGCCTTATGGGTGCTTTGAAAATCCAAAAAAAAAAATCCCCTTTTAAAGCCTTGTGAGAGTTTAAAAGAATCTAAAAAATCCCCTTTAAAAGCCTTGTGGATCCTTTGAAAAAAATCCTGAAAAATTCATGGTTTCAGCCTTGTGAGAGTTTAAAAAAAATCTAAAAAATCCACGTTTGAAGCCTTGTGGATCCTTTGAAGAAATATTCTTAAAAATCCACTTTTAAAGCCTTGTGAATCCTTTGAAAAAATAATCTCAAAAATCCACGTTTATTGCTATGAGGGTCCCTCGACAAAAATATTCTTAAAAATCCTGTTTAATATCTTGTTGGTTCTTTAAAAAATACTAAAAATCTCAGTTTATTGCCTTGTGGATCCTTTGAAGAAATATTCTTAAAAATCCACCATTAAAACCTTGTGGGTGCTTTAAAAAAACTCAAAAAAGACCACGCTTAAAGCGTGGTGGGTGCTTTAAAAAATCCCCGTTTAAAGCGATGTGGATCCTTTGACAGAATTTTCTGAAAAATCCACGTTTAAAGCCTTGTGGATCCTTTGATAGAATTTCAGAAAATTCCATGTTTAAAGCCTTGTGGGTGCTTTGAAAAATCCAAAAAAAAATCCCCGTTTAAAGCCTTGTGGATCCTTTGAAAAAATCCTGAAATATCCATGGTTATTGCCTTGTGAGAGTTTAAAAAAAATTTTTAAAATCCACGTTTGAAGCCTCGGGATCCTTTGAAAAATATTCTTAAAAATCCACTTTTATAGCCTGGTGGCTTCTTTGACAAAAATATTTTTAAAAATTCACGCTTAAAGCCTTGTGGGTCCTTTGACAAAAATATTCTTAAAAATCCAGTTTAATATATTGTGGGTCCTTTAAAAAATCCTAAAAATCTTAGTTTATTGCCTTGGGAATCTTTTGAAAAAATATTCTTAAAAATCCACCTTCAAAACCTTGTGGGTGCTATAAAAAAATTCCAGAAAGTCCACACTTAAAGCCTGGTGGGTGCTTTAAAAATCCCCGTTTAAAGCCTTGTGGGTCCTTTGATAATTTTTTCTTAAAAACCCATGTTTAAAGCTTAGTGGGTGCTTTAGAAAAAAAATATAAAAAGCCCACGTTTATGCTTGAGGATCCTTTGAAAAAAATATCCTTAAAAATCTACTTTTATTGACTTATGTGGGTGCTTTAAAAAATCCTAAAAATCTAAGTTTATAGCCTTACAGATTTATATTAATGCCCTCATGGGTCCTTTAAAAATACTCACTTAAAGGCTTCAATATTTGAAAAATATTCTTAAAAATCCACGTTTATACCCTTGTGGGTGCCTTAAAAATTTCTAAAAACCCCACGTTTAGGACTTGTGGATTCTTTGAAAAAAATATTCTTAAAAATCTACTTTTATTGCCTTATGCGTCCATTGAAAAAAATATTCTCAAAAATCCAAGTTTAAAGCCTTGCGGATTTACCCTCATGGGTTAAAAAACCTCGCTTAAAGCCTAGTGGATGATTTGAAAAATATTCTTAAAAATCCACGTTTATACCCTTGGTGGCGCCTTAAAAAATCCTAAAAAATCCCCCTTTAAAGTCTTATGGGTTCTTTAATAAATCCTTAAAAAGAATCCTAAAAAATCTGCGTTTAAGAGCCTAGGGGATCTTTTGAAAAAATATTCTTAAAAATTAAGATTTTCTAAAGACTTGTGGGTCCTTTAAAATTTATTTTTAGATAATTTACTTATATCCATTAAAAAGAAAAATCTTCGTGGGTCTTTCAAAAACTCTTTAAAATCATTCATTCAACAATATATCCTTTCTTCAAAAAATATCCTTAACAACCCCCATTTATTGTGTCCTCCGGTAGAAAATCTAAAGAAAAATCCTTCAAAAAGAAATCTTCTGGGACCTTTATAAAATATTCCGTAAAATCCCCCACTCTAAACGAGCTTCGTTAAAAACTCCACCAAATATTTCTTACCAAATATTGTCGGACAAATGTCGAAAGCCTTCTCAATGAACTGGGCCACAAAACTTCTTTCATTTTGCAGGAAATAGTCAATGTGTTTACTGCGCAATGTTACCGACGTGCCACGTTGCGATGCACTGTTTAGACGGGCCATATCCGGATTTAAGGCCAAGGCTGCATAGTCATGGTTGTTCTCATTCAAATACTGTTGGAACTCGCCGTCTCCAGTCAAGTTTAGAGTTAGGATTCGCAATATTTCAATGCTGGAGCAATTCGATTCATTGGCATTATCGCGCCACGCCTCCTGTTCGCCCATGTTGAAGAGGCCGAACATAAGGTCCAATGAGTTTTGTTCGATCCGCTGCTGGGAAGCTAACTGTGGAAATGGAGTTATATTTGTTTCTTTTTTTCTGAAATGAATTTGAAATGGCCCGAACCTGTAAGACATGGCCAAAATCAATGGATTTGTAGGGCAACAACAATGCCGGATACATATTACTGCAGATATTGGAGTTGAGTTGTTCATCCTCGGGTTTCTTGGCATCTCCATTGTCTTCGTCATCCAAGACCAGGGGTTTTCGACATTTATTATAGAGTTGGGTTATTTGCATTGCCCAATTCATCCATACTTCCGAGTGTAAAGATTTCTTCAGAAGATAATTAACCTGAAATGCAGAAGGGATTTTAAGGAAGAGTATTACACTGTGTGACAAAATTCAATAATAACTGGACAAAAATCCGGTAGATTATCAAACTAGAGCCACCAATAGTAGACACTTGTATAAGCTTTTTGAAAACTTACATCGCAAAGTAATTCAAATATTGAAGGCAGGATCCCCCCTCTACCACATTTTCGGAAATTTTATTATCGCTTATTTTTTAGAATCCTTGCATTTTAGGTATATAGTGTCTTTGGCAATTTTACTGTTAACAATACGTGGATTATTTTGGTCGAGCATTTTAACCCTCAAACTGGATACCAAAGGGGTCTTTTTGGTCCTTTTTTCAAAATATGGCTGAAAACTCCCTTTAAACGGGATCGTAGCAAGTCAAAATATTCTACAGAATTTTTTGCCATAAAATTCTATCATAGGTCCTAGAAGATATTAAAGGTCTAAATCTTACCTAAATGCCAAGAATACATATATGTATATGTAAAACACATTTTAGGGTTAAAACCGTACTTTATGTGAGTTTGTACAAAAATCTCCAACAAATCATAATTTTAGAAGTATGATGTCAAAGACAAAAATATTCCCCATTAAATTTTACTATGAGTCATGGAAGACAGGAAATCTCTATTTCCATTATATGCCAAGAAAATATTTGTTAAAAAAAAACGCTAAAATAATTCCTATTAATTTAACTCTATTTTTCCCTGGTCTATTTTCGAGTTGATGCATAAAAGTAGCATAAAATGTCGTTTTGGGCAGAAAGTGTCAGAAGAAGAAATATTCTACACCAAATTTCACTATAAATTTTAGAATAAACTATATATCTAGGTATAATAGTTTTTAAGAAAATTAGATTCGAAATTTATATATTATATGTGAAAATTATGTGTTTAATTATTTCACGGCATATTTAACACGTTTCCATTCCAAGTCAAAATCTCCCTTAATACTTAACTTTTTGGAAATGATATCAAAGGAAGAAATAATTTACATCAAATTCCATTAGGAGTGTCCGAAGAAAAGAGACACATATTTCCATTATCTACTATGAAAATATTAGTTTCAACTTTACCAAAAAAAAAAAAAAAAAACGCGAAAATAATTTCTAATTTTTTCTATTAAGTTTTTCTTGACTATTTTTCTAGCTGCCTTAAACTAACATAAAACTTAGTTTTAGACAAAAAATATTAAAAGAGGAAATAATCTACACAAAATTTCACTATAAGTCTCGGAATAAATCATCTATCTAGGTATAATAGTTTTTAAGAAAATTACATTCGAAATTTATATATTATAAGTGAAAATTACGTGTTTAATTATTTCACGGCATATTTAACACGTTTCCATTCCAAGTCAAAATCTCCCTTAATACTTAACTTTTTGGAAATGATATCAACGGAAGAAATAATCTACATCAAATTCCATTAGGAGTGTCCGAAGAAAAGAGACACATATTTCCATTATCTACTATGAAAATATTAGTTTCAACTTTGCCAAAAAAAAAAAACGCGAAAATAATTCCTAATTTTTTTCTATTAAGTTTTTCTTCACTATTTTTCTAACTGCCTTAAACTAACATAAAACTTAGTTTTAGACAAAAAGTATTAAAAGGGAAAATAATCTACACAAGATTTCGCTATAAGTTGCGGAATAAACCACATATCTAGGTGTAACAGTTTTTAAGAAAATTGCATTCGAAATTGATGTATTGCAAGCGAAAATTATAGGTTAACTTATATAACTGCTGAATTCACACGTTCCCATTCCAAGTCAAAATCTCCCTTAATTCCTAATTTTTTGGGAAAAGTGTCAAAGGAAGAAGTAATCTACATCGAATTTCATTAGGAGTGTCTGAAGAATCCAGACTTCTATTTTTATTGTGTAGCATGAAAAAAATTGTTTTAATTTTGCCAAAAAAATTTCTGAAATATTTACAATTTTTTTGTTGATTTTCACCTTCTTATTTTCGAGTTGCTCCATGAAACTAACATAACACTTCGTTTTAGACAAAAACTATTAAAGGGAGAAATAATCTACACAAAATTTCACTATAAATATCAAAATAAACCATCTATCTAGGTGTAATAGTTTTTAAGAAAATTGCATTCGAAATTTATGTATTGTTAATATGAATTATGTGTTTACTTATTTTACTGTTACATTAACACGTTTCCATTCCAAGTCAAAATTGCTTTTAAATCCTTATATTTTGGGGAGAGTCCCAAAGGAAGAAGTCGAATGAAGAATCCAAACTTCTATTTTTATTTTGTAGCATGAAAAAATTCGTTTTAATTTTGCCAAAAATGTCGCTGAAATATTTCAAATTTTTTCATTGATTTTTTCCGCCAATTTTCGAGTTGCTGCACGAATCGAATGTAAGACTTCGTTTTAGACAAAAAATATTAAAAGGAGAAATAATCTACACAATATTTCAGTATGAATCTCAGAATAAACCATCTATCTAGGTGTAATAGTTTTCAAGAAAATTGCATTCGAAATGTGTGTATTGCAAGTGAGAATTAAAGACTCACTTATTTTACTACCAAATTAACACCTTTCCATTCCAAGTCTAATTCTCTCCTAATTCCTTATTTTTTGGAGAAAGTGTCAAAGGAAGAAGTAATCTACATCGAATTTCATTAGCAGTGTCTGAAGATACCAAACTCCTATTTTTATTGTGTAGCATGAAAAAATTCGTTTTAATTTTGCCAAAAAAGTCGCTGAAATATTTCAAATTTTTTCATTGATTTTTTCCGCCAATTTTCGAGTTGCTGCATGAATCGAATATAAGACTTCGTTTTAGACATAAAATATGAAAAGGAGAAATAATCTACACAATATTTCAGTATGAATCTCAGAATAAACCATCTATCTAGGTGTAATAGTTTTCAAGAAAATTGCATTCGAAATGTATGTATTGCAAGTGAGAATTAGAGACTCACTTATTTTACTACCAAATTAACACCTTTCCATTCCAAGTCAAAATCTCCCTTAATTCCTAATTTTTTTGGAAAAGTGTCAAAGGAAGAAGTAATCTACATCGAATTTCATTAGGAGTGTCTGAATAAACCAAACTCCAATTTTTATTGTGTAGCTTAAAAAAAAATTGTTTTAATTTTGCAAAAAAAAAAAAAAAAGTCGCTGAAATATTTCCAATTTTTTTATTGATTTTCTCCGTTTTATTTTCGAGTTGCTGCATGAATCGAATATAAGACTTCGTTATAGACAAAAAATATTAAACGAGGAAATAATCTACACAAAATTTCAGTATAAATCTCAGAATAAATCATATATCTAGGTATAATAGTTTTTAAGAAAATTACATTCGAAATTTATATATTATATATGAAAATTACGTGTTTAATTATTTCACGGCATATTTAACACGTTTTCATTGCAAGTCAAAATCTTCCTTAATATTTCATTTTTTGAAAAAGATACCAAAGGAAGAAATAATCTACATCAAATTCCATTAGGAGTGTCCGAAGAAAAGAGACACATATTTCCATTATCTACTATGAAAATATTAGTTTCAACTTTGCCAAAAAAAAAAAAAAAACGCGAAAATAATTCCTAATTTTTTTCTATTAAGTTTTTCTTCACTATTTTTCTAACTGCCTTAAACTAACATAAAACTTAGTTTTAGACAAAAAGTATTAAAAGGGAAAATAATCTACACAAAATTTCACAATAAATCTCAAAATAAACTATAAATGTAGGTGTAATAGTTTTTAAGAAAATTGCATTCAAAATTTATGTATTGCAAGCGAAAATTATAGGTTAACTTATTTTACTACCAAATGAACATCTTTCCATCCAAGTCAAAATCCCTTAATCCCTATTTTTTTGAGGAAAGTGCCAAAGAAAGAAGTAATCTACATCGAATTTCATGTGGAGTGTCTGAAGAATCCAAACTTCTACTTTTACTGTGTAGCATAAAAAAAAATCCTTTTAATTTTGCAAAAATCGCTGAAATATCTCAAATTTATTCATTGATTTTCTCCGTCTTATTTTCGAGTTGCTGCATGAAACTAACATAAAACTTTGTTTTAGACAAAAAATATTAAAAGGGAGAAAAAATCTACACAAAATTTCATTATAAATCTCAAAATAAACCATCTATCTAGGTGTAATAGTTTTCAAGAAAATTGCATTCGAAATGTGTGTATTGCAAGTGAGAATTAAAGACTCACTATTTTACTACCAAATTAACACCTTTCCATTCCAAGTCAAAATCTCCCTTAATTCCTAATTTTTTGGGAAAAGTGTCAAAGGAAGAAATAATCTACATCGAATTTCATTAGGAGTGTCTGAAGAATCCAAACTTCTACTTTTACTGTGTAGCATGAAAAAAATTCTTTTAATTTTGCAAAAATCGCTGAAATATCTCAAATTTATTCATTGATTTTCTCCGTCTTATTTTCGAGTTGCTGCATGAAACTAACATAAAACTTTGTTTTAGACAAAAACTATTAAAGGGAGAAATAATCTACATAAAATTTCACTTTAAATCTCAAAATAAACCATCTATCTAGGTGCAATAGTTTTCAAGAAAATTGCATTCGAAATGTGTGTATTGGAAGTGTGAATTAAAGACTCACTTATTTTACTACCAAATTAACACATTTCCGTTCCAAGTCAAAATCTCCCTTAATTAATAATTTTTTGGGTAAAGTGTCAAAGGAAGAAATAATCTACATCGAATTTCATTAGGAGTGTCTGAATAAACCAAACTCCAATTTTTATTGTGTAGCTTAAAAAAATTGTTTTAATTTTGCAAAAAAAATATTTATATAATATTTGAAATATTTCCAATTTTTTTATTGATTTTCTCCGTTTTATTTTCGAGTTGCCGCATGAAACGAATATAAGACTTCGTTTTAGACAAAAAATATTAAAAGGTAAAATGATTTACAAAAAAATTCACTATAAATCTCAAAATAATCCATCTATTTAGGTATAATAGTTTTTAAGAAAACTGCATTCGACATTGATGTATTGCGAGTTAGAATTATAAGTTCACTTACAGAGTGAGATGAAATAACTGCAACCAACTTCAGACTGCTGTCATTTCTAAGCCACTCGTCTGACAGCTATTAAAATTATTCCAGTGACAGCTCATTATATTGTTTGCAAGCGTACAAAAGCATTCTTGTGAGAATTTTCCGGAAAAAAAGTTATTCGTGACGGAACTCATGCGTGATAGTGTGATTTCTTTATATTTGGCTGGAAATCCACAAGTGGCTATCGTTAGAGCTCTCCTGCATTTAAATTTCAATAAATCTCTTGTGTCTCGGTCGTATGTGATACTGGTAGCATAGCCCGACGTCAAGGAAGTGGACGGAAGAAAACAGTAACATCAGCAGAAATGGTTCGAAAAGTAATGAAGCAACTTGATCGAAACCCGTGTCGCAGTTGCCGAAAAATGTCTCGTGAGCTGAACATATCGCAATATTCCATTCGACAAAAATAATGAAAAATGAGCTCGGGGCGAGCTCGGGAGACACTGAAATTCCAAAAAGTACAAGAACTTACACCGCAACAGATAAAAAAATAGACTCAAAAGAGCTAAAGAGTTGCTTCGCTTGGCCGAAAGTGGCAGTGGTGAACTGCCGAATTTGGTTTTCTCCGATGAGAAAACATTCGTTGTCCAGCAGTTTGTAAGCAAACAAAATGATCGGGTTTACTTGCCAAAGAGGTCAGCTGAATGCTGAATGTGTACCTTCGGTTGGCCACCAGATCTCAAGTGCCTGCGCCGACCGTGGTGATGGTGTGGGCCGCCATAACAGCCGATGGTCGCCCTCCGCTCGTATTAATCGACCGTGGCATCAGAATAAATGCCGAATATTATCGCGAAAATATTCTGGAGGGTGTCTTAAAGCCTTGGGCACGCAAACATTTTTGAAGTAGATCTTGGACATTTCAACAGGACTAAGCACCCTCGCACTCGCACTCAACATGGTTACAAAACGAGGTTCCTCGCTTCATTTCCAGTGCACAATGGCCACCAAAAATCTCCGGATACCAATCCGTTGGACTATTGTGTCTGGAGTATTTTGGAAAGCAAGGCTGGCACTAAAAAATACCAAAGTGTCGATCACCTCAAGCAAGCGCTTCGCCGGGAATAGGCCAAAATGCCGCAGAGCAACATTCGGGCAGAGTGTGACGGTTTTATTGGCCGTTTGAAGGCCATTATTCGTGCCAAAGGTGACCAATTCGAACAAATCTAAACTTATTCAAAAAGTAGATGCTATTTCCGATATTTCGGGTAAATTGTGCAACAAATGGCCAAAATGAGCTGAATTTTGATACATCCGACTGAATTCAGTCTAGAAGCAAATGCAACAAATTTGGTGAAAATCGGTTCAGATATAGCTATAGCTCCCGTGTATATGTTTCATCCGATTTGGTGTTAAAGTCCCTCACATTCGTAATATACATTCGTTAACAATGATATTTGGTACTAGGTATCTTATAGAGCTCGGAAATACCTTTTCCAAATTGTATCGAGAACGGTTTAGAATTGGATATAGTTTCCAGGGGGCTCCATATATATTTTTTTTAACATAATCCTTTTCGAAGTGATATCCTGCACTTTAAAGCACTGTTATTTGGTATAAAAGATTAAAATGCCTCCGTCAAATTTAGTGAAAATCAATTCAGAATCGGATAAGCCTTCCATATATTAGTTCCCTCTGAAACCAAATTATAACTGCTCTAAAGCCAAAGGTTGATAGGAGGTATAATCAATTTCAAATAAACTCATTTGTTACGGGAACTCTACTTAATATGCATAGTGGTGTAGGCTACCATATAGCCGGCCCCGTCCGACTTTGGACTTTTCCTTACTGGTTTTAGAATAATTTTTTTTCTATTCAAGGACCAACAGACCAATTTTTGTAAAGGGTTTTAGACCAAAAATTGAGAATATTTTCTCATGCATCTGAAGAATAGATTTTCATGCATCAATGGATCAATTAACGCGTGTATTTACAAATTTTGAAGAATTTTTTTGTGGAATATTTTTGAAATTCCCTTCTCTCTTGACTCACCGTTTTCTTAAGGACAAATGTCAGTTGGCAAAATCTCCGATCGTTTAAATCCATAATTATGCGAAACTTTTGCATTAACAAGGCATTGTAGGGGCTGCGTTTGATTTTCTTCGACAACGATTGGAAATCTTTGTTTTTCGATTGGTCCTTGAGACTCCAGTAAAGTTCAACAATGCGTTCACATTCCTCCAGTATGGTGTCCTTAAAAAAAGAACCAAAAAAAAAATCAAAAAAGAAATGGAAAAAATCTTTAATTTTTCTGCCGAAGGCCACCACCACCGCTTACATGTTCACTATAAATGTCCACCTTGACATCGATAACCAAACGCTTTGTAATTCGTCGCAGGTCATTACCCAATTTGGAGAGTTCCGCAAAGGTTTGCATCGGTTGCGATTTGTTGCGACAATACCATTTAGGTGTGGAACTCATTGCTCTTGAGTTGTTTGTTTGGCTTCCTACCTTCCCGTTTTTCTTTTCTTTTATTTTTCTAATTTTTATGATGGCTTTTTCGGTTCGGATAACTGGCAATTGACAGGAAGAAAACCAATAAATATTCGAATCTAACAGCAGTGCCCCATGTTCCTTTATTTCCGCGTGTGAAAATTTCCATAGATCCGATGTCGTGTTCAATGGTAGGCTGTTTTAGCTTTTTTTTGTGTTTGCGTCTCTTTCCTGGCAATTCGCAAAATGTTTATTTGTTTACCTTAGCAACGACTCTGTCATGTTTAAGGGATGAGAAGGAGAGCATAATTGTGATTATCTCATACCGCTCAATTAAAATGGGTAAGTTGTCGGAGGATAGTGTCTATTAAGAGCATTGATGGTCTTTTGAGATTTTAAGATTTGGATATAGCTCCCACATATATCCTTCATCCGATTTCAGGTTTATTGGCTAAAATCAGTTCAAATGGAGTGAATTTTGGGACGTACGTTTCCATTTTGTGTAATTCGGTTCCGATATATCCAAGTGATATCATGCACTCTATAGCAAACTATAACTGCTTTAAAGCCAAAGGCTGATAGGAGGTATGATATACTTCAAATAAATTCTTTTGTTACGGGAGCTCTACTAAATATGGATAGTGGTGTAGGGTATCATATAGTCGACCCCGCCCAATTTTTCATTTGTCCTTACTGGTTTTTTTATTCAAGGACCAACAGAGCAGTTTTTGTACGTGAAATCCTCACTTGAGGGTCATTGCTGTAAAGTATCCTTAAAAATCCACATTTAAATCCTTGTCGATCCTTTGAACAAAATTCTAAAAAATCCACGTTTAAGTCTTCGGGATCCTTTAACAAAATATTCTTAAAAATCTATGTTTAAAGCCTTGTAGGTCCTTTGACAAAAAATATTTTTAAAAATCTACGCTTAAAGCCTTGTGGGTCCTTTGACAAAAATAATCTTAAAAATCCACGCTTGAAGCCTTGTGGGTCATTTGACAAAATATTCTTAAAAATCTAAGATTAAAGCCTTATGGGTGCTTTAAAAAAATCCAAGTTTAAAGCCTCGAGGATCCTTAAACATTTTTTCCTAGAAATCCACGCTTAAGGTCTTGAGGATCCTTAAAAAATTTTTCCTAGAAATCCACGCTTAAGGCCTTGAGGATCCTTACAAAAATTTTCTTAAAGATCCACACTTAATGCCTTGTGGGTCCTTCGACAAAAATATTCTAAAAAATCCAGGTTTAAAGCCTTGTGGGTCCTTTGAAAAAAATGTTCTAAAAAATCCACGCTTAAAGCCTTGAGGATCCTTAACAATTTTTTTTGAAATCCATGCTTAAAATCTTGTGGTTCTTTAACAATTTTTTTCTTAGAAATCCACGCTTAAATCCTTGTGGGTCCTTTGACAAAAATATTCTTAAAAATCCACGCTTAAAGCCTTGTGGATCCTTTAAAAATAATCTCATAAATCCTCGTTTGCAGCCTTGTGGGTCCTTTGAAAAAAAATCTTTAAAAAAATCCACGGTTGCAACCCTTGTGGGTCCTTTAAAAACTATTCTTAAAAAATTACGTAGTAGGTCCTTTGAAAATTTGTTTTTAAAAATATATGCTTAAATCCTTGTGGGTCCCTTAAAAATTCTACGTTAATTGCCTTGTGGGTCCTTTGAAAAAAATATTCTTAAAAACCACTTTAAAAACCTTGTGTATCCTTTAATAAAATATTCTTCACAATCCACGTTCAAAGCCTAAAAAATCCACGATCAAAGCCTAGTGGATCCTTTTGAAAAATATTCTTAAAAATCCACGTATACAGGATGAGATAAAAAACAAGTTAAAAAGTATCAGTCGGTATTGCCGACAGATATATACCCTCAGCCTATGTTCGATTAAATAATCAAACTATATTTGACTAGTGTTACAATTATTCAAAGGTTTGGCCCTCTATGGAGCAGTTTCCGAAGGAATGGACCAATATTGTCCATTTCGTATCGTATATATAAATATTCCGACGTTCCTGGTATGGATTATATCGACTAACTCCTTCACTTTATATGAGAAATGTAATAATTTTTAGAAAATGTTAAAATGTGCGTGATGTAGCAGATAGAGTCTACCGAAATATTCCATTTTTATACTTCATCTCATACAAATAAAAAATATTGAGCGAAATATTGGGCAAAACTACAAGAAAGGATATTTATTTCCAATTTTATGCGAAATCATAAATTCCGATAAATTTCATAATCATATCAGGCTTCTTATTGAGAGAAATATTTGAGCATAGCAAGCAGTAAAGAATTGCTAAATTGTTTTGAAAGTTATGTATGGGGGAGGTACCAGAAGAAATGGTTCGATCTATACCACCTTTATAACAGATCTTGTGTTGATGGAAATATTGAGATGTGCCAAGTCTAAATGGAATTGGATCTTAATGTGACGTTTTATGAGCTTCATGGGTATTCAAAATTTCGACACTTTGTGGGGGAGGTACCAGAAGGAGTGGACCGATACATTCCATGTTAACAGAAGATCCTGGTTTTTAAAAAAATATTGGAATGTGTGAAATTTGAAGACGTTCGGATCCTTACATCACATTTTATAAGAGTTATAATTATTCAAACTGTTGACCCTTTGTGGGGGAGGTACTTGATGGAGTGGACCGATACTGTCCATTTTAGCATCTGACCTAGGACTGACGCAAATATTAGGATTTGCAAAGTTCGAGCAAAATCGGATTATCCTTTCTCTTTCTGTGCAAAAAATATATTTTATATACATATTTTTTTTTAATTTCGACCTTTTGTGGGGGAGGTACCAAAAGGAATGGACCGATGTATTCACTCTTAACACCAGACCTTAGGTTAATAAAAATATTGGGATATGTGAAATTTGAAGACAATCGAACTCTTACATGGCATTTTATAAGAATTGTAATTATTCAAAATTTTGACCTTTTGTGGGGGAGGTACTTGATGGAGTGGACCAATATTGTCCATTTTCGCACTTGACCTAGAACTGACGCAAATATTAGGATTTGCAAGGTTCGAGCAAAATCGGATTATTGCTTCTCTTTAAGTGTAGAAAATATATATTGTTTTATTGTTTGAAAATTTCGACATTTTGTAGGGGAGGTACTCGTAGGAGTGAACCGATACATTCCATTTTCACCCCAGACCTTGGTCTAATAAAATTAATGGGCTGTGTGAAATTTAAGACTATCGGACTCTTACATCACATTTTATAAGAGTTGTAATTATTCAAAATTTTGATCCTTTGTGGGGGAGGTACTTGATGGGGTGGACCGATATTGTCGTTTCTCTTTCAGTGCAGAAAAAATTTTTTGAAAATTTCTACCTTTTGGGGGGAGGTACCAGAAGGAGTGGACCGATACATTCCATTTTCACTCCAGACCTTGGTCTAATAAAATTAATGGGATGTGTGAAATTTAAAGACTATCGGACTCTTAAATCACATTATATGAGAGTTGTAATTATTCAAAATTTTGACCCTTTGTGGGGGAGGTACTTGATGGAGTGGACCGATATTGTCCATTTTCATACCTGGTCTAGCACTGATGAAAATATTAGGATTCGCAAAGTTCGAGCAAAATCGGATTATCCTTTCTCTTTCTGTGCAATAAATTCGTTTCTTTGAAAATTTTGACATTTTGTGTGGGAGGTACCAGAAGGAGTGGATCGAAATCGCCCATCTCCGAACTCGATCTAAGTTTGACAAAAATATTACGATGTACCAAGTTTGGATCAAATCGGATACTTCCTTTGAGAGTTATCGTGCGTACCAGCCAGTCAGACAGACAGACGGACGGACGGCCATCGGTAGATCCACTCCAAATGTTCTGAAACGGATTTGCTACAAAGAGACCTAGGGTCTAAAACCGTTATTTCGACTAGGCACGTTTTGACCGTATCAAATGATATATACCCTCTGTAGCCATATGGCTGAGGGTATAAAAACTGCAACAAAGTCAAATGCCATAATTTTAATTTTTTTTTTAATTTTATTGAATGAAAGCAAAAAATGTCGGAAATAGTATCAAATTTTAGAATAAGTTTAGATTTGTTCGAATTGTTCACCTTTGGCACGGCCTTCAAACGGCCAATGAAACCACACGTCACACGCTGCCCGAATGTTGCTCTGAGGTATTTTGGCCCATTCCCGGCGAAGCGCTTGCATGAGGTGATCGACACTTTGGTATTTTTTCTACTTTTTCTTTCAGTACTTTTACTTTCAGAAAAAAGAGGTCCAACGGATTGGTATCAGGAGATTTTGGTGGATATTGTGCACTGTAAATGAAGCGAGGAACCTCATTTTGTAACCATTCTTGGGTGGCGTGTGCTGAGTGCGATTGTGCTGAATCCTGTTGAAATGTCCAAGGCCTGCGGCCAAAATTTTTGCGTGCCCAAGGCTTTGATACACCCTTCAGAATATTTTCGCCACCATATTCGGCATTTATTCTGATGCCACGGTCGATTAATACGAGCGAAGAGAGACCATCGGCTGTTATGGTGGGCCACACCATCACCATGGGCGGCGCTTGAGTTCGTTCTGGTGGCTAACCGAAGGTGCACCTCTTTGGCAAGTAAACACGATCACTTTTGTTTTGTTTGTTTGCAAAATGCTGGACGACGAATGTTTTCTCATCAGAGAAAACCAAATTCGGTAGATCACCACTTTCGGCCAAGCGAAGCAACTCTTTAGCTCTTTTGAGTCCATTTTCTTTTTGTTCTTGCACTTTTTGGAATTTTAATGGCTTTACCCCGAGCTCATTTTTCAATATTTGACGAATGGAATATTGCAATATGTTCCGCCCACGAGACATTTTTCGGCACTGCAACGCGAGTTTTGATTAAGTCGCTTCTTTACTTTTCGAGTCATTTTTGCTGATGTTGCTGTTTTCTTCCGTCCACTTCCTTGACGTCGGGCTACACTACCAGGATCACGGTAACGAGCGATGGTACGAAACATAAAAGATGTATTCACATTTAAATGCTGGAGTGCTCTAACGATAGCCACTTGTGTTTTTCCATCCAAATATAAAGAAATCACAATATCACGCTTGAATTCCATCACGAACAACTTTTTTTCTGGAAAAATTTCACGAAAATGCTTTTCTACGCTTGTAAACAATATAATGAGCTGTCACTGGAATAATTTTAACAGCTGTCGGACGAGTGACT